CATTGTACTCAGAGCCTGCAGGGATGCATTCACGTGCATCCATTAGTTTGGAAGAAGCTGCTGATATCCACTGGCTCTTTTTAGCCATTATCTTGGAGTCGGCTACAGTCTCCAGTGCTGCTTTTACAGTAGACTGAAGATGGCACCAAGCTTCTTCTGGATGAGTGACAGTCTTTTGTTCCGATAACTGCCTAGCCAACTTCTCACTGAACACGGCTTTGGTGTTTTCGTTGTCCAGCAGAACTCGTAGTGGTTTTGTTGCCAAATTTTTTCTACGTCCATTGAGACGCAGGCATATACGTGCTCGGACCAACGCATGATCGCTGTCCAAACACGTACTCCAGAAGGAGCGGCAGTCTTCCACCGATCCTCTCCAGCGATGACTAATAGCAATGTGGTCTATCTGTGTCCATCGCTGAGTCGAGCTCGGTGGACGCCAGGTCAGACAGTGCCTTTCTTTATGTCTGAAATTTGTGCTGGCTAAAAATAGGCGGTTATCTGAGCATAGTTGTAATAGGCGATCACCGTTATCTGTACGTTCAGCTGGGATTCCGAAAGTGCCACCTAAGTGCCTTTCTGCCTCACTCAGTCTACCCACCTGTGCGTTGAGGTCACCTGCAACAACCACTACGTCCGAACGTTTGGCTTTCGAGAGGAGGTTAGACAGTTTATGGTAGAACTCGTCCTTCACTTCATCCGAACTACAGTCAGTGGGTGCGTAAGCAGAGATTACAAAGAGACAACGGCGAGTCTCACTATTCCTTTTAGTTCTCACTGTGCCGTTCAGCCTCATAGCGCAGAGGCGACTATCAACTGGGATCCAGTCTAGTAGTGAGTTTTCTGCCCTGGTGCTTAATGCTATACCTACACCTGCAAGACCACGAGAGCTAGCTATCGAATCTCCAGAAACTCGAAGGGTGAATTTTGCAGATTCACCAGATTGGTCAGGAGAGGTCAGGTGAATAACCACACTTGGGTCCTGTATGCGTGTCTCACAAACACAGCACACATCCATGCCCGAGTTGCTAGAGTCTTTGCCAACGAAGCCTGTTGGCCAATTTGACGGAGGGTGCGGACATTGAAGGCTCCAATATGTAATTTGGAGCGTGGTTTAAGGAGACCAGGGATGCTGTTCTGTGGACTCAGATCGTTGTCGAAGGCTGCAGAGGTAGGAGAAATTGAAGATGATGCAGCATCATTAATTAAGAGACGTGAAGGAAGATTAGAAGGTAATGATGGAGGAGGAGGATAGCAGTCAGAAGAAACTTGGGTGCTGACAGAGTTGTGAGGGCGGTTGACACTTCCCGGCTGCCCACACCGTGGAAGGCTATTTCTTCTTAAGGTACCTGAAAGAGATTTGTGTGACCGCAGAGCCCATCGGACATCTGCTTGAGGCCTGTCACACCCAGCCTTTTGAGTATGATTATTTTGAATTTTTGTATTTTTGGGGCCGGATGGTCGAAAGGAAACGACAAGTGAACCAACACCGCCGGCCCGGCAGACCGTGGGGCGTGGTGGAGTGTGTTATTTTTGGGGCCGACCTTTTCTAACCCCCCCTTCCACTGAGAAGGCAGCATCAGCATGGCACTGCTGGTCATCCAAGGGAAACACCTTACTGCTGTCACACCCCATCCAGCTAGCAGCAGTACGACTTCGCCCTCAGACCCCCATCATAGTGTAGCAATTTACACTATAACGGTAACTGCTTTTCGTCTAACCACTACCCAACAGACCTTTCTGGTATGGTAGGACCTCGAGGGAACAAGCGTTCCACCAGCATAGCTCGTTGGGTCATTGTGATATGCAAGCCCGACCACCACGTCAAGGTAGCAGCTATCTGTCGGGCCTTGCCTCCGAACAAACAGACAGCTGTACACATAACCATTTATTTCTGGACAATGCGAACTTCAGATACAAAGAGAGACATTGTGTGAAGTGGCGTCAACCAACCCCTACTCAATGGTAGACATAGGTAAACGATACTGCTCGGTTATTGTTTGAGAGTCGGCGGAAGGTTGTCGCTCCTTCTGAAGCAGGTATGTCTGCGCTTAAACAGATGTAAAAAAAGCTATAGCAACAAAACCATTGTGGGTGCAGCTCAACAATGAGAGCATTAATGCATCTTTCAATAAAAAACTAACCAGACAGTTATCGGAACAGAACGACACTCATCCAGTAGAAGCCTGGTTTCATCTCCAGTCTGCTTTAAAAGCAGCATTGATGGCTAGGTGGCTTTCAAAGCGGGATTTGAAGTGGTCAGTAGATATCATCAGCTTCTGAACCAATGAATACAGACAAATGAACCTCTGCAGGCTTTGAGCACACCTAGGAGCGGAAAAAACTGAAATATAGACTGATGAGAACTATCCAATGACTGCGAGCAGCAGTGGGTGGGAAAGGCAAAGGCGATAGTCAGTAGAAGACAGTTATTTAAGGAACCTAAGGCAAGGTCAGTGGTTAGTGTACCTACAGAGGAAAAGCATGTATCTGTGATTCGCTAGGAGATACGACTGAAATGGTGAACGAAGCACTTTGAGGAACACTTCATCTGGCCTTCTGCTAATATACTGTTTCCTGCTGTCCAATTGGGTCGTGAATAGAACGTCGGAATAGGACCCCCAACACCTACAAAACTGAAGAAAGCTGTAGGCAAGCTGAAACGAGAAAGGTTAGCAGGGCCTAACGGAATGGAATCAAAGGTGTTTAAGGACGGTGGTAGAAATTTATTGGTCAAACTAAATAAAGCGTTAACTAGTGTATGAGAGTCAAATAAGATCTCTGACTGGTCTGTTTTCGTGAAATGCTAGTAGTCCTCTTGTGATAACCACAGGAGAACCAGTCTGACAGTGTTTAAGATCCTAGGTTCTGTAAGTCATTAAGCGTCGGAATGGAGCTTCGGAACACCGTACTCGATAAAACCAGACGGGTTTCAAACCTGCCCACGGGTGTGTCGACCAGATATTCACACTCCGCCAGGTCCTAGAACACAGCCACACTTTCCGAAATGCGACACTGGCTGTATTCCTCGTCCGGGGGGTGTCATCCGGTTCTATTAGTTGAGAGATCTTATAGCGGTTTTACCGAGAGGAGTGCTGAGTAAGTACATCACTCCGCTAGAGGTTCTATCATAGGACAGCCGTGAGCATGTTAGAGCGTACTGTGAATTGTTTACATCAAGTGGCGTCCATCAACGATGCCCACTCTCTCCATTCTTATTCAGTTTTGCCCTAGGCGCTCTTATGTAGGCCTTCCTCCCGTCGTCTTGCTTTTCAGGGATTGGTCCTGTCACAAGAGAGTCTCTAGTAGACCTTAAGCACGCAGATATTATAGTCCGGTTAGGTGAAGGTGCTGAAAAGATTCAGGGTACACTGGGAATTTCCAGCGGCAATTTGAGAGTGCTTGGGATACGTCTCTCTACCTGAGTGGAAATTGTTGCTCAGGGACTGGTCTGCGTTGGTATCCTGTCTAACACCGTGAAGTGAAAGGATTGAGTGCGTTAGCTACTTCACTTACTTCTAGGAGGTCGGATCAACCCCGTTGGGTTGGTGGTTGCCGAGTTCTCTGCACGGATACAAAATGCTCACTTGGCTTCCGCCAACTTGCGCCACTTATGGGGCCACCGCAACACCCAATTGTCTAATGAGAGCCGAGTGTGCTGCGCTACAGTTCGCTCTGTCCCATTTTATGGCTGTGAAACATGGCTAATGATGGTAGAAGTCATAGGAAGGCCTGAGGTGTTCGACCATTGTTGCCTCCGTATCACAAGCTGTGTCATCGTGCCACCATGTCAGTAATGTAGAGGTCAGGTGTAGGGTTTTTGGAAGAAGAGGAAAGTCAGTCAATCAGGTTGTGAAATTTTATCGACTGAGATGTCTGGAATATGTGTTATGCATACCCGGTCAGCGTCTGCCTCGTTTCACAATGTTAGCTGAAGTAGTTTCAGCCTGAAAAAAGTTAGAGGCGGTCAGACTAAAACATGGCATCAGTCTATGAAGTCTTTGACTGTTGGTGTAAGCTCTCTAGGGTAATGTAGACTTCTTTTTTAGGCCTGCGTGACAACAAAGCAGTGACTGGGAACTCGAGGTGGTATGGCTCAGAATCGATGTGTCCATGCATTGTCCTCATCTTAATTGCCATGCTGAATTTCAGTATCGTATTATTCCTCCTTGTTAGCTTATTAAAACTTTCAACCACTGGCTGCTTTCCTCTTTATATCTTTATTTTTTGTCGCAATGCTTTTCCGTTTTATGTGGTGATATGAGGCAACTTGAACCGATATGCAATAATTCCCAGTCCTATTTTGGTTGTGGTGATGACGATTACGCCATATTGTTAAATGGAGTAGCAACGCAGATACTAGGTCTAGGGGATGATTTCTATGTTTGTGATGGCAAACACATTCGAAACATTGTGAAATTGCCACTCCATATGTCCGGAAGATTGTGATTCTAGTCAAGGTCTTCACCTAACAGGACTATATTTGTGGACTGTTGTTATATTAAGGATTCTCTTATGGCAATATCAGTCCCTTTAGTGAAAAAGCCTGCATATGTACGTCTGTGATTAAACTGATTAGGAATAGAAAGAGTAGATGCCGCTTGATGGACATAACTCAGCTGATAACTCACCATACGCTGGGCCAGGTCAAATAAATAATCACACCAGAGTCCCGTATGTCTATCTGTTTGTGCTATAACTGATCCGTATCTTATCACTATCCAGCAAACCTTTTCCATATAGTAGGGCCTTAAGGATCAAATGGTGCCATCAGCATAGCTTCTTGGGTCTTTGTGATGTGCAGCCTGAGGCACTAGGCCAAGGTAGCAACACTCAGATAACAAACAACGTGTGCTGTCAGACATCAAACTGTCTTTTCGCACTCATGCCTACATTTGTATTCTTTGTTTTTCTGTATTCTCCAGACATTCATTAAGCTTTATGTTTCTTAGCATTACCTCAAAAAACTGTTTATTACATATCTTCAGCGATGCTTGCTCATTATGCATCCTGAGTTGTGCCCTAGAACTTTAAAGCCATACAACGTATTGACAGAAGTAGGAAATACTGAAATGTTAGATTTTCTAACCACCACGATTGAATAATAATACAGTCATCAGGATGAAACACTACGGTCATCGCTCGAATCCCTCATGATGTCGTGAGCGTACATTGCTGGGGAGTTCGAAAATAGAATGAGATAGATGTTATACGGGCTGGCACTTTCATCTTTAGTCAAGTCATCATTACATAGTTCATTTCCGTAATTACCATCTAAGAGCACTACTTTAGTCGTAGAAGCTCATACATCTTTCCCGAAACTTTTTACCACCGCCTTCAAGCTAGTTGCCAATTACTTCAGTGGTGTAAAGGCTAACATCCATATAGCGTTTCATAAAGATTTTATATTAGATTTATTTTGAGTTGTTGAGAGATCCTGTCTTTTCCTACTTCTGTTTGATATACTGTGTAGCTGTGGATAGTGGATTCGAGCCATTTTGTACTTACCAAGGTTTTGGCAGCCAGTTAGTATCCTTAACCCTCACACAATGTGTGGCTCACTGCCTATTGCACGAATTCGCAGAGGGTTGGTGAGTGGATTTCGATTCCTTTTTCGTTCAATATATACGTCATAGTTCTACTTGATATAGTGTTCTGAGATAAACATTGTATGCGTTCTTTTGAAAAGTGGTCCTTTGTTGATATCCGATTTATTTGATTTTTTTTAAAATTTCAGACAATCTTGTGGTATGCCGATGTTAAATGATATTTTACTACCTTGGAACCACAAAGAACAGCCAAGCAATCTATTTCTATCTTTCAAGAATTCGGATGGTTGTATTGTATGTTCATTGTTATAATGAGAGTAGCTTTGGTTAAAAAAGGTCCATGTACCAGTTACCACTTCGAATATCAATAGTTTGAGAAATAGCGCTGACTCACTGATTATATCTGAACTCAATAAACAAATGAAAGAAAAACTTGAAACTGGAAGTATTGTTTATTTATTTAGTTAATTCTTTTTAATCAACTGTTTTTAGGTAAAGAATGTGGTCCGTTTCTACTTCCTGGGTCAACTTTTTTCCTAGACAGTAATCCTCGTGTAAGTTATGGTTTAACTGGACTGGAATTCTTTCTACTTCACTGGTGTATTCTTGAAAGTATCTCACATGTTTTCATGCATAAAAACCCACCATAAATGTATATATTGTCTTAATATTAGATTAACTGAAGTATTAGGTTGCTTATGACAATCAGATGAGATACTATCCCCTTTTGACTGGTCTCAATGGCTGATTGTCCCAGTCTTCAAGAAACGTGTAAACTCTTGGTGTAATAACCATAGAGGAATCAGCTTAACACATAGTGTTTACGATTTTAGTTTCATTAGACATTCAGGTGAAAATCAGGAACAGGATACTCGAAAAGCGCAGGCAGGTTCCATATCAGACACAGTTACTGGTACCAGACTCCAGCTGCATTTTTCTCGATCTGAAGGTGGCATTTGATTGCGTTGATCGAAAGGTCTAATGGCGGTGTCCATTACTAAAAGGGTTTCTTGTAAGTACATCACCCCGATAAAACTCTGTCTTTATTCAAACATCCATCGGTGTGTTAGGGGCTGTGTTTGGTTATCAGGCGAGTTGTGTACGTCAAGCAGTGTCCGTTTAGACTGCCCACTCTCTCCATTCCTACTCAATTTTATCACAGACATAATTACGGAGATCTTGTCATCTTATCGTAGGAGGATCCTTGGCAGATCTAGAGTGCACAGATAACATGTTCCTGCTAGGCAAAAACGCTGATACAAGATTCAAAGTCTACTGGACACCTTAAGTGGAAGTTTTAGAGCGTTTGGCGTATATTTCTTGCTACGCAGATGCAGATTGTTGGCCCCTGGAATGTTCTTCTATGGCGCCTTGTTTTACGACGAGTATTGAGATAGTTGATCGTGTTGACCACTTTTAGGAGGTTGAATCAACCTTGGTGAACCGACGAAATCTCTGCACAGATACTAAAGCCTCTACTAGTTTTCGATAATTTACGCCATCTGTGGCGCAACTGTGACATGCAATTGCATATTAAGGGTTGGGTGTACTAAGCTGCCGTTTTTCTTTGTGCTCAACTGTGAGTTTGTTAAATATCTTTATTAAAGTTCAAGGTTATGACAGCTTCAGGTGTTCGACAACTGTTGCTTTTGCAGCACTAACCATAAGTTGCGATGTGACGATCTGAGTAGCATAGAAGCAAGACATGGGGTTATATGCTGAAGTAGGTTAGTTGACGAGACCGTTGACCTCGAGCGACTGTAGTGATTAGGACATGTTATGCATGCCGAGTCACTGATTCCTCCGTTAGACAGTGTTAACTGCAGTCTGCATCTCCCTACAGTTTTCATATCAGAAATCAGAAGCTTCGTCAACTCGTGTGATGTCTTAATCTGGTCATCCTGAGCCTTCTTAATGTTCAATCGTACTTTGGCTAATATTATACTTCGAGGTAAGTTTGTGGTAAATTGACATGTGCAACATATGTCAAAGCCACCTTAGTGGAGGTCGACAACCTCCTCGACTGACTTGCATTCCTTGCCTAGCACTCCTCACCTGACTTTGACGTTGCTCACAGAATGATTTCACTAGACGTGAGCATTTCTGCGAAGATAATCGTGTTCAAAAACCTTATGCACTCTCATACCCTTTTTCAACGACTGTCTCATAGTCGTATAATAGAACAGAGTGAACTTCAGAGTAGTGCACTCGTCCTTTAATAGGTAGTTTGATATCTCACCAGCCGGTACCAGGGATGACTTGTATACGAGCTGAAATTTTGCCAGAAGTCAACCAATTTAGTCTACTTTAACTTCCCAAGTAAGAAAAGTGGCCGATGCATTCTACCACTACTTCGTGTTCCTAAACTGGAAGTAGCTCCAGGCCGGTTCTGATTCTTCTTTGGTTGTCACAAGATTGGTTCTCCTATGCTAACTCGTACCTCTGTTGTCATACTCCAACTGACTTCAATTTCATAAGGAAATGCATTTTAGTTCATAATCACACTTCCATTTGTTTGTGTCCAGGCGTGCTATATTCTGGAGAATAATTGCAACCTTATGTGTTGACTGGTAAAACGTTAACTATGTGAAATGAGTAATTGTCATCCTAACTGTTCGTCTACTTGCAATTAGTATCTTTCTATTCCGTGAAATATTTTTTTATTGAGTTATGCTGTATATATTTCTTATCTGTATATTTATCACCTTCAGCCTCGTAGGAAAGCCACTATTTCACATCAATCCAATAGTGTTAGTTATTTTAAGAAAGAAAATTCACGAAGAAATAATGATACCTACAACAACCTCAGGGACTCAGTGACTGCAAACAGTGGACTTCTTGATGTGACTGAATTGGAAAAAATCTCCAGTGCATTTGTAAATAGACGGATAGAAATGAGTAAGTTGCTTTGATATGTGTTATAGAAATGATGAATAGTGACTAGTAGTGGAATTTAGGACGCGCGTTTCGTCCTATTTGGGACTCGTCAGCTGGTTGTACCTCATCTCAGCGAGTGAGTGATGTTGTTCTCACCAAGATCGATGGTTTCAAATATCAGATCGTTATTGACTAGGCTACTGAGTCACGATACCCACTTCTTGTGCAAAGAGTTTAGTTTTTATGGTGTTGCTTGTATTATCCCGTCGTTGGCTGGACCTAATTGATCGGTCTTAGGTGTAAAGTGTTATTCATTGGCACTTGTAGTTTCTTGTTGTTATATGAGATGGAATAGAAAGTCAACACAAGTAAGGCGACCAGAATGACAAAATTCATTCAAACTAGAGATGAGTTTTTGTAGATCTGAAAGAGAAAAATATTTGTGTGACTACAGAGCCCATGGGACATCTTTTTGAGGCCTGTCGCAAGAAACCTTCTGGGAGTTGTTGTTTTGAGGCTTAAAGCGGTTGTTCTAACGCCGGATAGCGAAAACTCATACCGCTGGCATCGATAGACTGTAAAGCAGCTTGGAGTGTGGGATTCTTGAGACCGACCTTTTCAAAGCCCCTTTCCTTAGGGAAGGCAGCATCAGCGTGGCACTACTGGTCATCCAAAGGAAACAACTTGCTGCTGTCACGTCCCATCCAGCTAGCAGCAGTGCGATTTCGCCGTCATTGTGCAGTTATTTGCACTACAACGGTAACTGTTTTTTGCCTTACCACTATCCAACAAACCTTTCTGACATGGTAGAACCCGGAGGGAACAAGGATTCCAGCCAGTTTAGCCCATTGGGCCGTTGTGTTATACAAGCCCAGTCGCCATGTCAGGGTAGCAGTTATCGGCCGGGATAAGCTTATATTGAGGACCACACGCACATTCATGCAGTAGGCGGCAGTTAGCCATGCATCGATTGTGTATAAGAAGGCTAATGATACTACCACTTGGCTACCCATGTCTTAGTAGGTGGGGCTTGGTTCAAACCCATGGCCCCTTGGTTGAATGTAAAGTGCCTAGACGACCAATGAGGCACAGCTTCACGGGAGACAAGTAATGCTTTTTAAAGGTGAGTGATATAAGATTAAATATACTTATAAGCAGTCATGTGCGGGAAAATACTATCTAAACGAAATGATAAATAGGTTGTCTATCTAAATTATCATGCGATTAATGACAATAGACGTTGTACTAATGAGATAATAACTAATGTTGGATGAACCTATAAAATAGAGGTGTTAAAATAATGGGAAGGAAAAATAAAAGGCTGGAAAGCCACTAATTATCAGGATAGTAATTAGCTAATAATATCTGCTTTTCAACGTATAATTCGAGCTGGATTCGTGGGATAGTGACGACTTCGACAGTTCAAGGAAGGTGTGAATTCCTTTGTTTGTTCAATATCATGAAGGATTTTGACGTGTCGACTTAGTGGCATGTACCAACTAGGTGACGTGCTACCTCACTACTATATAAAGCATAGCCTATGAGATGCAAACTGTCAGCTTTAAGTTCAACAGTCCCAGTGGATACCCTCCCCAAACGGCTCTTACCGACAGACACAAACATCATGGATTAGTTTGTCACGTCTTAGTTTGACCACTGTGATACCTTTCTTCGGTAAAGCGTATCATGCTTTGGCTAATATTGCACTTCAATGTGTGTGGTGTGGGTATATACAACATATACCCAAGACATCTCAATCGCCGATGGTTCACAACTTCATAGAGCAGTTGTAATGTATAAAGTTCTTACTTTCTTTTCACCTAACTTCTCTTAGTATATTTCTTTTGTGTTCATCTAACAAATTTCTCTGTTTCAGATCTTTCACAAACTGATGTTGCCATTTCATTGGGAAAACTCTATGGAGTACATCGTAGTATATCTGTGATTTCAAGATTTGAAAGAATGAATTTAAGCCTAAGCAATTATTTGAAATTTTATCCAGTTCTGTTAAGATGGTTAAAAGATAGTGAGACTGCTGAAGGTCGAGATACAATTATTCGGGCTATTGTCGACTCTAGGAACAATATTGATAATAATGATAATAAATCACCAGTTAAAGAGAGTAATTCTCAGGTATGTGTGTATTTTTGATTTCTCTTGTGACAAATGATAGACAGTTTGGTTATACCAAACATGCCTTGTTGACATATCGTTTCATGAAATTTGATTTCAAGCCGGTATTCATCATGGAATGACATCAGTTGGAAAACCATTGAAAACACTGGAGTACTGGCTGGACTGTTGTTTCGTCCTAATAAAGGGGTCCTCAGCAGGGCACACCCATGACCTCTTCCCTTGACAGATCAAGCCCAGCAACGTCAGTTTCCGTGAGTCGGAATCCAATAGTCCATATTTTTCTACTTCTGTCAAATGGCGTACGATATACTACGACCTGAATTCAATGTCGTCATTGAGTACATTTCTTAATATCCAACTTACCTTACCCCACTGGACACGACTTCATCATCATCATCATCATCAATATCAACATAGGACCAGGCATTACTGCGTGACGGTCAGTTGCCACACCTCATCATATCAGTACATAAAGTAAAACAACATATATGCATGACTATGTTTTACATCGGTAGGTGGGACGGGATTTCGAACCCGTGCCTAACAACTCAGCATCATTATCATTAGCTACTTTTATAGCAATTGTAAACAGTATCCAGAACATGTATGTTAGTTTCTTAGATTTTTGAAGTGATTCATTAGATGTTGTACTGTTACTTACTGTGTTTAACATGAAAGACTGGACAAAACACTTTAGAAGGCGTTATCTGTCATACAGTCATCACTCGTGAGATGACTCTTTAAAAAGGACTGGTTATTACAATCTGACTGACTGTCTCAAAACACTCTATCATCTTGATAGATATTGCCGCACAGTGGAAATCAAGATGTGCGTTCCGCCCTATTTAGGACTCGTTAGGTGGATGTGCTTACCTCTCCTTCCCATCGATACTCGAACACAATACTCATCCACCACCTCAAATACTAGGTCATGATAGTTATTCTTTTGATTAGGGAAAGATAAGTATACATCTATACATAGTAAGCAAAATTAGATCCATACACAATCATCTAATTCACACCGGCGACCAAATATATACGTTCACTCATTAAAGTGCTAGTCAAACTTTATTGTATGAATGTTAATGCAACCATCTGATTTTTCTTTGTTTCGCGAAGTGAGGCTAGATTCCAGTTAGTACGTCATTGATGATAAGTTGGTTGGGTAAACCGGTGGACCACAACTCTCCCCCTCTTCACCTAGTATTAAATTCTTCCTACCAAGTTAAAATTGTAGGCTTAATTATCGGAATATGAGTCCTGTTAGATCATGAAAAATTTGTTTTTGACGAATCATTTTCAAAAATGTAAATACATAATTATAATTCCACAGAAACAAATTGTAGTGGATGTTGCTGATCAGATTGGACATAAATAGCATATGTTGAAAGGGTGGCAGAGATCATAGGCAAATACCAGCAATGGGTAAAGATTCTGCTCAGAGAAACACAGGAGACAATGTGGGCGTATGAAGAGCAAATCAAGAGAGAAGCAGAGGAGGAAATGAAGCACATTCTCAAATGATGGTTCAACTGTAAATAAACTAACAGTAAACATTATTATTATTATTTGTCCCTTGGGTTCCTAGTGGAACATAGGGCTTCAGTAGCACGTCTCCATTTCACTCTGTTCTCTGCAATCTTTTGAACCTGGCTCCACGACAGCCTAGAAACTCTCCTTTCTTCCTCACACGGTCTCTTCCATATCACTCTCACCTCGGACGCCCAACTCGTCGTTTCCCATCTGAGTTCCACCCGAGCAACTGGCCTGGTGCGTGACGTTCCCGAATGGTCTTCTCAGTATATGCCCAATCCATCTCCACTTCCTTCTGCATATTTGTTGAGTGATCGGTTCTTGGTTGGTTCGTTGACAGCCAGTCAGAGTTCCTTGTTGCTTATTCTCATTATTCTGGCCATCTGAGCTTCAGTAACGAGCCTGTGTAGACAGTTGTTGATGAATGTGTGTAGTTTGTTGAAAATGCTTTTCGTAACGCACCAAGTCTCTGAAACATATATAGATGCAGTGACTAGACTGTGATTAGTGTTGAAAATCCGGATGTTGTTCACGCTTTATACTGAGTTCAGTGCAGAAGATCTCCACACTGGTTTCAGGTTAATAAACGCCAGTCTTGCTGTCTTTTCGATCCTGGCTTTGACATCCTCGTCTGTGCCGCAACAGTAAGCATGGTTAATTTTTATTGACTTATAACATTCGTTGAACCTGTGTAGTGTATATCTTCAAGGTTACAGTTCGCCTGACAGGTGGTGAAAGTGTCATTCATGTGTCTCTTTATATAAATGGAACTGATACAACTCGTCTTCACTAAATCATTTGTTAATTATTGTAAAATTAATTACTGATTTTTAACTTTTATTTAGAAAAAAAACCCCTCAGCTTCTCATAGATGATAAATGATAGATATTTTCCTCTTTCTCTTTGAATTATCAATTATTTCAGGTGAAAGATCCAATTTCATTCAATTTTCCAAAAAGACACCAGAGAACAGTACTATCTGATTCTGTAAAATGTGAACTGGAAAAAGCTTATCAACAGGTAGATATTCCTATTTACTGTCTATGTTGAGTTACTGTTGTGTAAAATACTTTTGCTTTGATTAAGATGTTACAGAAAAAGAGGCTGGAATCTTATTGAAAAGTTAGCTGTTAATTGAAATCGAAATGCATTCAACAGTCATATATACACTAGTCTATGCAGTAGTAGTAGACAATGAACTAGACAACTATTGAATAGGTGCTAATGTTACTACTACTCCAGTAACCCATTATGTCCTGTCATGCGATTTTGAAACATGACCGTTAAAAGTAGAAGATATGAAGCGATTACAGGGTTTTAATCATAGGTGCCTTCGTAGCATTTCTCACGTTTAGTGGAATCACCGTGTGAGCAATGTTGAAGTCATACGAAGGGTAACAAGCAAATCAATTGGTGATGCTATGAACCGTCATCGGCTTAGATGGCTTGCACATGTGCTGTGCATGTCGAGTCACTGCCTACTTCTAGGTTTCATGCTATGGGAAGTTGGATTAGGTTAGAAGAGGGTTTCAGGGTAGCCACTCAAGGGCGTGGCATCAGTCGATAAAATCTCTCAATATTGGTCTAAGTCATATATTTTGTTAGCTGATGACAACTTTATGTCAGAGGTCACAGCTTGTGATGTTGACTGACGGCGAGAAGCGACTTCCAATGAAAACCGTATGGGACTGTAATTCATTGGTTTAGGTACTTGGCTTTCGACCGACGGGTCATGGATTCGAACTCCACTCCATCTATCGAGGTTTGACCAGACAGTTAATAGTAGTGTCTTTAGCCCTCATATAATAGGTGTGATCCACTGCTTACTACACAAATGTGCACAAAGCTGATGAGAGGATTTGGATTGGGAAGAAAATAATCGTGACATACATACAAGTATGCATCACTCTCAGAAATATCAAGACGTTTGATCAGTACGCCGAATTTCAATGGTGGTGATGCCTACCATCCACACCACAAATGTAAGAATGAATATAATACATCTAGAGTTATCTTAATGGCTTGACTTAGTATTTGAGGAGGATAGTCGGGTATCGCAGCGTGTCGACAGATGGCGTAAGCTGGGGAAAGCCGATCAAGCCTTTTTTATCCGTGCAGAGATTTCATCGGCCACTGACCAACACACCAGAGCTTACGCAACTCCTTAAGTCAGTGAAGTCGTCAACGCACTTGACCGCTTCACCCTGTTATCAGACTGGGCACTACTAAAGATCAGTCCTGGAGGAACAACTTGCGTTTGGGTAGGAAGAAATGTATCAAATTATCAAATTGGCGCTTAAGGTGTCCAGAAGATCTAACATCACTACTGGACTGGATCCCAGTTGATAGTTGCCTCTGCGCTGTCCGGCCGAACGGCTCAGTGCGAACTAAAAGGGATAGGGAAACTCGCCGTTGTCTCTTTGTAATCTCTGCTTACGCACCCACTGACTGCAGCTCGGATGAAGTGAAGGACGAGTTCTACCATAAACTGTCTAACCTCCTCTCGAAAGCCAAACGTTCGGACGTAGTGGTTGTTGCAGGTGACTTCAATCCACAGGTGGGTAGACTGAGTGGGGTAGAAAGGCACTCAGGTGGCACTTCGAAGTCCCGGAGGAACGTACAGATAACGGTGATCGCCTACTACAACTGTGCTCAGATAACCGCACAAATTTCAGACACAAAGAAAGATACTGTCTGACGTGGCGTCCACCGAGCTCAACTCAGCGATGGACACAGATAGACCACATTGCTATTAGTCATCGCTGGAGAGGATCGGTGGAAGACTGCCGCTCCTTCTGGAGTACGTGTTTGGACAGCGATCATGCGTTGGTCCGAGCACGTATATCCCTGCATCTCGATGGACGTAAGAGAAATTTGGCAACAAAATCACTACGAGTTCTGCTGGACAACGAAAACACCAAAGCTGTGTTCAGTGAGAAGTTGGCTAGGCAGCTATCGGAACAAAATACTGTCACTCATCCAGAAGAAGCTTCGTGCCATCTTCAGTCTGCTGTAAAAGCAGCGTTGAAGACTGTAGCTGACTCCAAAATAGTGGCTAAAAAGAGCCAGTGGATATCAGCAGCTTCTTCCAAACTAATGGATGCACGTAAATGCATCCCTGCAGGCTGAGTACAATGAAGGGCGAAAGCAACTTAAAAGTAGATTGCGAAAAGGTCTACGCAACGACCACAAACAGTGGTGGGCAACGAAGGCTAAAGAGATGGAAAAGGCAGCGACGATCGGTAACAGTAGACAGTTATTAAGACTTACTGAGGAAACTGGAGGAAAAGGTCAGCTGTGGTTAGTGAGGCTATAGCGGAGAAGGACGGATCTGCGATTCACTCGCAGGGCAGACGACTGGGACGATGGGCAGAACACTTCGAGGAACAGTCTAACTGGCCTCCAGCCACCATTGCGTTGTCCGCTATCCAGTCGGACCCTGAATGGGACATAGAGACAGGCCCCCCAACACTAGAAGAAGTTGAGAAGGCGGTAGGTAACCTTAAACGAGGAAGGACGGCAGGTCCAGACGGACTAACTTCTGAAGTATTCAAGGATGGTGGTAAGGTGCTCTTAGTTCAGGTTAACGAAAGTGTTAGCCAGTATATGGGAATCAAATACGATCCCCTCTGATTGGTCTGAATCACTGATTATTCCAGTCTTCAAAAAGGGCGAGAAGTCCTCTTGTGATATCCACAGAAGAATCAGCTTGACGAACAGTGTCCAAGATCTTAGGTTATATAATTCTCCGACGCCTGAGTGGAGCTCGGGAACAGCAAGCCCGATTAAATCAGGCAGGCTTTAGACCCAACAGCGGGTGAATCGACCAAATATTCACCCTGCGTGAGGTTCTGAAACGCAGGCACACTTACCGACACTCAATAATAGCTGTATTTCTCGGCGTGAAGACGGCAGCATTCGACTCTACTGATTGCGAAGTCTTATGGCAATGTCTGTCACTGAAAGGCGTGCCTAGTAAGTACATCACCTTATTAAAGGATCTCTACTCGAGCACTTGTGGGCGTGTTAGAGTTTATGGTGAGATGTCAAGGGAGCTGTGCTCGTCGAGTGGTGTCCGTCAAGAGTGCCTACTGTCTCCATTCTTATTCAGTTTTATCATAGATATTCGTATGGAGTTCTCCCTCTCGTCGCCTGATTACACAGGCGTTGACTTAATCACGGGAGAATTTTCGTTAGATCTAGAATATGCAGATGATATAGTCGTGTTAGGTAAAGATGCTGACAAGATGGAGAGTCTTCTGGACACTTTGAGTGACAATTTGAGAATATTTGAGATGTGTTTCTCACCACCGAAATGCAAATTGTTGCTCCAGGATTGGTCTTCAACGGTGCCTCCTCGGCTAATAATAGAGTGTACTGGTCGAGTGTGTTGACCACTCCACTTACCTGGGAAGCGAATTGGGATCAGCCTTGGTGCGTTGGTCAGTGGCCGATGAAATCTCTGCAAGAATACAAAAGGCTCTATACTGGCTTTCGCCAACTTACGCCACCTATGGCGCCACCGTGATATCCGATTGTCTATTAAGTGTGGCATGCACTGTACATCAGTCCCCTCTGTTCTACTCTGACTGTGAAACGTGGTCATTGAAAGTGTGGCAACTCGGACCGTTACGCAGTAATGCCTGGTCCTAAGTTGATAGATGACGATGATGACCAAACAGAAGTTTGTCGACTGCTCTTTCTTGATTTACTAAGGATTCTACGAGGATTTTGTGAGTAAATCAATCCTTGTGATGTGAGATGATGAGAGGGAGGCCACCATAAGATTATCTGTGACAAAATCAAAGAGGAATGGAGAGAGTTGGCATCCTTGACAGACCCCAATCGATGTATAGAGCTCATGTGACGACTTATCATAGGCTGTTACATACCCATTGGTGTCGGAGTACCGATGTTTGAATAGGGCGATGTACTTGCAAGGAATCTCTTTCAGTGTGAGACTCTGCTGTAAGACCTCTTGATTGACGGAGTCGAACACCGCCTTCATTTTGAGAAACACAGGTAATGTCGGGCATCGATAAGTGTGCCTGTGTTCCAGGGCTTGGTGGAGTGTAAATATTTGGTTGATACACCCACAGCCAGTTCTGAAGCCTGTCTGTTTTTTTAGGCTTGCTCTTCTGAACTCTATTCAGATGTCACTCATGAGCAAGTTGTATCCACAACTTTAAACAAATGAATGTTCTCTTGGTGATTCATACTGCGTTATATAGCTCTTAAACCAGAGACCATTACCAAACTTCGGTCAGTGCTCTAAGCAGTGTGATCCAAATAGGTACATGGACTACCCTGTGCCGACTGATTCTTATGCATAATCCAATCCTACAGAGGGTCAGTCATGACCTAAGCGGTGAAGTGTGTGACTTCGGGACTGTATGATGTAGGTTATAATCTCCAAGGAGGGGTGGGTGGGCGTAAGTTTCTGCATGATTACAGAAATACCTTGTCGATGAAATTCCAACAAGCACAAAACCTAAGTCTTGAACTTCCTGCTGATCGACTATTGGCTGATGGCCAATTAGTTGGCCAGCTGGCAATTGCTTTCCCTTTATTCATTAGCGCATACAACATTTCTTGTCATAATTGACAAGATAACTTATTGATATGTTTTGTGAATATTGTTTCATAGCATTAGATTAAGAGAGCACCGGGGTTCTATCCATAACACCATCTTTGGTATACATTGCTATGTAGTCCAGTAGAATAACTAAATAATATTGTAATTCAGTATGGAGGTTTATCGTGGGTGTACACTGCTGAGGCGTTTCATACCAGAACGAAACAGCTGTTATCCAATGTTTCTAGGTATATCATTTCGTAATGAATGATACCTTAAAAGTCAGTGATCTATCCTCATAACTCACTCACTCAAATGCCCCCCCGCCACCAACCATTTGTCTCACAAAAACTAGTGACTGTATAAAGAAGCCTGTTTCCATTGGTCATTATCTTCCTCAGGAGTATATATATATATATATATATATATATATATATAGTTGTTTTATCTATTTTTCTTATCTTCACAGAAAACATGTATGAACAAATATGATTTTAAAGAATTGGCTATGAAACTGAATATTGATAAAAAAACTATTCAAGTTTGGTTCTACAATCGTCGTAATCGTAATATATTAGTCAATCGAAAAAGAAAATTGATAAAACCGAGACAAAGATAATGAAATGAAATAAGGAAGAAAAGTGAACTGCATTTTTCCCCCTCTTGTATAGACTATTCTTATTGATGTTCGCTTAAAAATAAAATGATAATATGCCTCTTTCTTACCGTTTGATTTACAGTAATATTACTTAGACGCAGTATGACTGACTATGTAAGAATCTAGAATTGCCATCATAGAAAAAAAGGTGAATGATTAGCGTTTCAGCTATCTCATCATTTTGAGAACAACAAAAATAGTCCTATTGTTGATTAGACCAAATTGATTAGCACAAGAAGTAGCTATCGTAACTCCGTGGTCTATACTGAGTAAAGCTGTGGTATTTGGAACGATATATTCCAGAGTCGGATCCTAGTGGGAACAATATCGCTGCTCACTGGTAAGGTAGGTACATCCAGTTGACGAGTCCTGAATTCCATGATGAGGATTTTTTCTCTTCGTTGAACAAATTCGCTTTCAAGCTGTATATTCGTGCAGGTATATGATATTTTGAGGACAATCAGAGACAACGTAGAACCACGTACATAAGTGTATTGGTTCAACTTACCACACACTTCCCAATAGTATGCAGAGAACAAGTGAATAGAAAAGGGACTGATATCAAAGTAAAAAAAGGTGTATGAGAGGAGAAGGGGTTTACACTTAAGGCTAGTCAAAACCCTCAAACTTTAGACGTCAAAGAGTGAATACATCTACGATGGTGTAAGCGATTTTCAGCCATGTCACCAAAAGTCCTCAACCACGAATTTCTATGATCTCGGGGATCACAACCTGGTAGTCTAGACCTGCTTATATGGTTCACGCCAAGAGTCAGAGACTTCTTGGTCTGGCCACCGTGAGCATAACCCTAATCGAACTTTTGCTAGTAGTGATTTTCTGAAGATTATCATTCGTTTAAATAAGGCATAACTAGAAGTTTTATCACCTGGTTCGAAATTTTGTGGTAGACATAGTCAATTAAATCATCTAGAAATTGATGTTCAATTTTAAGACTTGTTTATTCAGAAACACCAATAAACTACAGACATTCATCAACAACTGCTTACGCTCGCTGCTGAAGATCAGATGGCCAGAAAGAATAAGCAACAAGGAACTCTGGGAACGAACCAACCAAGAACCTATCAGTCAACAATTATGCAGGAGGAAGTGGAGATGGATTGGCCATGCACTGAGAAGGCCGACTGAGGACATCACGCGTCAGGCCCTCGAGTGGAACCCCCATGGGAAGCGACGAGTTGGATGTCCGAGGGTGACATGGAGGAGGTCGTGCGAGGAGGAAATGAGGGCTTGTGGGCTGTCGTGGGACCAGGTTCAAAAGATCTCAGAGAACAGAGGTGACTGGAGGCGTGCTACTGAAGCCCTATGTTCCACTAGGAACCCAAGGGACTAATAATAATAATAATTATTATTCAGAAACAAGACTTAATCCCATCTTCTAAATGTGAGCTAGAGAGGTTTAAAGCTACTTCGATTGGTTTCTGTTATCAACCTGGGAATAATGAACATCCTTTCAATAGCCTACTCACTAAAAAACATCAAAAGGCTATCCAAATGCTTTAAAAGGATGATAGTTTGATAATAATCAAACCTGGTAAGAGATCTGGTACAACTGTCATGAGCAAATATCACTATATAGATAAGATAAACCTTCTCAGTGATCAAACAAAGTTTCAGAAGCAACAGGACCTAATCTTTTAGTCAACATGTGATATATTAAAACCCTGAGGTACAGATATACCTAGACTGTATGGCTTACCAAAAGTTCATTCCTTTACGTGGAATTCCAGATATGTTGGACTCTCTGAATCACACAACAGCAACATAGTTAATACAATCACTAGAGAGAGACTCTACATCGCGAATTGATTAGATTCAGTGTAAGTGATGTATTCAGCTTTGTAGAACATGTCAAAAATATGAATATTAGAGACAAGAGGATGATTTCATTGAAGATAACATCATTATTTACAAATATTCTGCTTATAAAACAGGAAACACAAAGAATGTCAGAGAATTCTTAGAAGCTTGGCATTCAGATCAGCCAGTCAGTCAGCAATCGACAGATGTATAGACATAGACCCGATCTATCAACCAATAAGAAAAATGATAAACGACAGAAAGGTCAGAGGTCAAGCAGAGGAAAAGCCAACAGGAAAGTCTATACAATCAATGACACAACCATCGAAGGAAACAACCAATCAGACCACATCGTCAGAGCAAGCCACTAAATCACTGACGGAGAGATATTGACAGCTCACTTCATGCTGAAGTTAGTGCTGATGATGTCGTCTAGAAAAAGGACGACGAAAGCTTCACGATTAAACAACCCAAGATAGAGAACACAATACAACCAAGACAGTCAACCACATTTACGATGAATTAACAAATAGACGTAGAAATCCTACTTGAAAGAGTTGATGAGTCGTTGCTATAAAGCACCATGAATGTTCCCTCTATGTTTAACAATGAGTTCTATAGACAAGTAGATGGCATTGCAATGATCTATCTCCTGGGTCCTATGCTACCGGATATCTTGACCAAACTTGAAAACGGTCCACTTAGGGACACACTTGATAAACAAGACTGTAATTGCCAGGTAGGTAGCAAATATGTTCATCATTTGTAACAATAACTCCAACAAAGATCTTTTGAATACTTTCAATAATATTCACACAGGTATGAAGTTAATCTATGAGGGAAAACAGGAGAATAGCATTTCATTCCTAGATATCGTTTTCACCAGGAAGACGGATAAATATATTGAAAGGGATATTCTTCGAAAAAAAACATGGACTGGTCAATATATTCATTTTCATAGCTTCACATCAAACCTGATCAAATGTCTTAATTAGAGAATAAGAAGTATGTGTTCTGATGACTGTATTGAAGAAGAGATGAATCAGCTGAAGATAACATTGCAACAAAATGGTCATCCACGAAACTCCATAAATAAATACTAGTTGAAACCTAGATAGAAGATAAAGAAGGATAACGTTGCTAAGATGCTTAGACTAAGTTTCAAAGGTGATATTGCCTCATATATCTTAAAACGTTGATTAAGTGGATCAGTTGAAAATACATTTAATGCAACGGAACTTTTTGTCAGCCTCTCATCCGAACCATTACTGACACAGCGAACCAGGGATAGGTTACCAATGATGATCACTTCAATGTGCACTTATGAGTTCAATGAATTCTGTGAAGCTAGTTACATAAGCCGTACTCAAAAGGTCCTATCCATGCGTGCTCGTGAACATGTACCAGTCTGACTAAAGAAAGGAATAACAACAGTGCAGATCCTTCGCATTCAGTGGATACCGAACATCAAATCAAGATAGATCACACCATTTCTGTTACATATTGTATCTCTTGCAACCTCCCCAAAGGTGCACGACTACGCATCTTATCTATAGCCGAAGCCATAGGTATCAACCTGATCTATGTGTTCAAAATAAATAAGTACATTCACTTTATCCTGGCCCACGATAGGGTCAAAACGTTCTTAATGAACTTGCCTGCCACAAATTACACATTTTAACCTCGTAACTCTTTCTTTTACCTTGTCTCTGCCATCACATTGAAAAACATTTCCTTATGTCATTAGTTTCGTGCTCGTTGTTTATTCATACCTACCTAGGTAACATCGTTTTAGCTAGAGGCGGTGGCACAGATGACAATGTCAAAACCAGGATCGGAAGGACAGCAAGACAGGCCTTCATCAATGTGAAATCAGTGTGGAGACCTACTCCATTCCATTCAGCAAAAGGCGTGAACAATATCCGGATTTTCAATACTAATGTCAGTCAAGTCAGTGCTTCTGTGTGATGGTTGAGAGACTCGGCGCGTCACGAAGAGCACTTCCGACAAACTGCACACATACATCACCAACAGCTGCCTCCTACGCTGGCTCGCTCACTCGATACTGATGATCAGATGACCAGAAAGAATAAGCAATAAGGAATTCTGGTCTGCAAACGAACCAACCAACAATCTATCGCCCAACAAATATGCAGAAGAAAATGGAGATGGATCGGATTGAACATACACTGAGAAGACGGTTTGCGGGAGAAATCAGGCACTAGGCCACGTCAGGCTGTCGAGTGGAACCTGAATTGGAAACGACAAGTTGGAGTCCCGAGGGTGACATGGAGGAGACCATGTGAGGAAGAAATGAAAGCTTGTGGGCAGTGGTGGAACCAGGTTAAAAAAAGACTGCAGAGAAGAGGGTGAAACAGTGACGTTCTCTACTGAAGCCCTATGTTCCACTAGGAACACAAAGGACAAATAATAATAATAATTATTCATACTACTACCAGTAGTCATTTTTCAACAATTCACATTTGCTATTCTGTATTTCGTCATTGTATTCACATACTTTTCCACGCCATTTGACTGTAAATCATCGCTAAATAACGACTATTTGAACCTAAGTAAACAAACACCATTCATCCATGTCTCAGTTAGATGTATATAAATGAAACATTATCTCCAGATTTTGTCTGCTTTTTGCGTAATTGTTCTGTCCATATTGATTTCATTGGACAACTAACACACTAGACTGATAAACAAACATTTCAACTAATTGATAGAAACGTACATTCATTTAATTTGAACTCCACTTACCGATAACACTCGTAGTTTCAACATTGAAATAAGTTTATATCATGTGTCTTACTTTAGCTATTGGATTTCATTTATTATCACGGACTTACAACCGTGTACAATCAGAAAAAGAAGTAATTGAAAACAATTGTTCGCTCCAATTATTCTTATTCAAACTGTCATCTGTAATGAAATTTACATCGAAATCGGACAAACTAAAGTTATGACTAAGGTAGAAGAGAAAACTATCCAAGACCTGCGCTACTTTAAGAAGTTGTAAAAGTGGAATATTTGACCGAATAGAGACTGAAAATGGGTGATGATTGAAGGTGAAATAAAAACTCGAAATCATAGTAGGAACCAAATCGATGGTCTACGAGTTACTGACCCGATACCCTACCAATTGACAGCTACGATACCCAATTGCTAGGTTCACTCCAGTCATCATGGGTTGTGCAAGAATACAGACTGGAAAATATTTTTATCATATATGTACTCTACAGCAGATATACACAGTTGAGATTTTTAAAAATGTTTACATTCCAAACGTGTTTTTTTTAGTTTTCGAGAAAGAATAAAATGTAAGGTTGCCAGGAGAGATGAAACATTCTTCTTTCATGATATCCATCATTTTCCGACTGGACCTTTTTCACTGCTTCTACAAAATTTCGATAATAGTTTTAACGACAAGCTTCAATTCATTATATCAGTACACAATTGGTCTGTTACATTTCATCAATTCGTCTAGTTTTTAATCATATTCTTTAATCTTTTCATACGATCCATATAGTTACTGAATGTGTGAAACATACCCATCGGGATATGAAATACTTCTGCTTCTTCTTCCATAATGTTTTGTTGAACTTTGTGTTGGATCAACCAAGTAACTGACACATTGAAGCATATCCACGCCAATCATCTACCCAAATTGTTCTTGGTCTAGGTAACATTTTCACCGAGATTTTTCACTGCCCTTCCTTGAATAGCATAACAATCAATTCCTACAAGTGGCAGGTGGGTAACTTCAGCAAAACACATTAACAAGAAACATTAGAACTGCGGAATAAACCCATTTGATCATCAATACAGACAACAAGTGGCAGTAATGTAGAGAAATTTTATCTACTTACGAAGCTATTTACCAAGCTGTACATTCGTGAATATATGTTACATTGACCAGAACGTTCCACAATGATTTACGCTTACGGGGTAAAATATATTAAATAACTAAAGGAAGTTAATTATTACTCATTTGCGTTTAGAGTAAGAAAATAGACAATGGATTATTAAATTAATTCCGACTATGCAATGCAGGATAAATCTATGAAGGATTAGGAAAATAAACACAGAAAGTAAGCATTCCACTCCCTCCAATACTAGATATAATAAACTCTCCATATCATTTAAACGCAAAATGCTTTGTGGAAATAAGTTGAACCTGTAAAGAAGAGGCTATTGAACCACAGTCTCCGTGATACATTTGATTTTGTTGATTCAATAAAGAATGTGAATTAGACAGGTAAAAGAATGATTTCATTGAATGTCGTGTCGTGTCGTGTCCATCTTCATAAATATCCCACTGACAGAAATCATCTGCTTCTTATGTGAATTCATTCAATATCATAACATAGATGTTGGTATTGCAATTCACGACATAAAAGAGTTTGTAGTACACCTTCCTGACACCAAAATGTAACTAGGGCTAAAGTAAATAGATTAAATTAAATCAACTAAATAAACCTCTAGCTCGCCTCCAGATGATTAAGGTGTTTTAAGTTTTGTTTTAACGAGCATGCATCCGAACAGGCTTCGACGCCATTTTGTGCTCCCTTTGTGCCGGTTAGCATGCACGTACTCAGAGAGTTCAGCCATACTAGTCAGATAAGTTGAATAAACTTTTCCCCTATTCATTAGTATCACATTTATTCTAATTAAATATATTACTTCTTCGAATTTATTCATGAATACCAGGCCATTTGATTTGTGTTTCGTTATCAGTACTTACACGTTAGGTAAGGTACTGGTTGAGCAGGCAATAGAGCACATCAAGTTAAGTAGGGTTGATCAAACGTTACCTAATAGTAACACAACAAGCACCCACTACAATTGGTGAGTCCGAGTATCATTTCTTACTCTTTCTACTACTTTTTTTTACATCCTGCGTTGATTCATTTGTTCCAGATGGGATCCCACCAGAAGCACTGAGAACAGACGCAGAGACAACAGCGGACATGCTCACACTACACCACTATTGTAGAAGGTGTGGAAGGAAAAGAAGGTACCTGGCCATTGATTGGAAGAAGGGTTACCTTGTCAAACTGCCGAAGAAGGGAGACCTCGGTGTTTGCAAGAACTGGCGCGGAATCACTCTCCTGTCCACCGAATGCAAGCAAAATATTAAGCCGCATCATCCTGGAGAGGCTAAAGGGTGCACTGGATTCAAAACTACGACCGGAACAGGCAGGCTTCAGGAAGTACAAATCATGTACAGACCAAATTGCAACGCTTCGCATCATCATAGAACAGAGCGTAGAATGGCAATCAGCTCTCTACCTCAACTTCATCGACTTTAGGCCTTTGACAGCGTCGACCGAGAGGTAATTGGGAAACTGCTTCACTACTACGGAGTACCGCAAACTTTTATCAGCCTCATTCAACAACTATATGAAGATGCCACATGCCAAGTAATTCACAATGGGAATCTCAGTGATGATTTTGAAGTGAAGACAGGAGTGAAACAAGGCTGCCACCTACTATCCCCCATGATATTCCTGATTGTGGTGGACTGGATCATGCAGCAAACAGTGGGCAGCGAGAAGAGGGGGATACACTAGACTGCGGAAAAGAACCTAGAAGACTTGGATTTCGCCAACGATGACTTGTGCCTGATGTCACACAAACTTGAAGATCTACAGGCGAAAACTATCAAGTTGGTAGAAAAGGGAAGGGCAGAGAAGACGGGATTTCAGGTGAATATAGAGAAGACAGAGGTGATGAAGATACCGCACCAACAACAACAACAAACTCCAGTCACCATCAACAGGAGAAATTTAAAGGAAGTAACCTCCTTCACCTATCTCGGAGGCACTGTTTCAACTACAGGCGGCACAGACACAGACGAGGATGTCAAAGTCAGAATCGGAGAAGCAAGACAGGCGTTCATTAGCCTGAAACCAGTGTGGAGATCTTCTGCACTCAGCATGTGGGACATGATCCCGATTTTCAACACCAACGTCAAGTCAGTGCTTCTGTATGGTTCAGAAACTTGGTACGTTACGAAAGGGATTTCCAATAAACTACAGATATTCATCAACAACTGCTTACGCTGGCTCGCTGCTGAAGATCAGATGGATTGCCAGAAAGAATAAGCAACAAGGAGCTCTGGGAACGAACCAACCATCAAGCTATCGCTGAACGAATATGCACTGGACGGAAGTGGAGATGGATTGGGCATACACTGAGAAGGCCGACTGGGGACATCACGCGTCAGGCCCTGGAGTGGAATCCCCATGTCCCAAAAATTTAAGTGAATTAACGCCAATCTGGCATTTGGCCAGATTGACTGTCATCAAATGATCTGACAGTCTGGCGAAAACCTAAAGACTTCTACTCTCCCTCAACAAGTTAGCCGTCATGTTTAGACGCCATAGCTGACGTCAGCTTTGGTCTCCATAACGCTGCACAAACTTTCCAACCCTTTATTCACGATGTCTTACGTGGACTAGACTTCGCCTATGCTTATTTGGATGACATTCTAATACCTAGTCCAAACGAAGATACTTATTGTAACCACTTAAAACAGGTTTTCGCCAGACTGTCGGATCTGGCCAAATGCCAGATTGGCGTTAATTCACTTAGATTTTTGGGACATGTTATTGACGAACAAGGCATTCGTCCACTACCTAAAAAGGTACAAGGGATACAAGATTTTCCGGTCCGAATGTCACTTAAAGCGCTGCGTACATTCCTGGGGATGGTGAGCTATTATCGTTGTTTCATCCCCCAGTGTGCACACATTTTGACTGCGCTAACCAACCTGCTGAAAGGTAAGTGTAAAACTTTCAGCATGACTCCTGAGGCATTAGAAGCATTTCGCAAGATCAAAACCACAATAGCAGACGCCACAATGTTGGTCTACCAGGACGTAAACTTTCGTCTTAGCATTGCGGTTGACGCATCTAACAGGGCCATTGGAGCCGTGTTGCAACAACTTTCGGATCCCGCTTGCATTCTTCTCCCGGAAGCTATTCGCTTGTAAAATGCGGTACAGCAATTTCGATCGGGAATTGCTCGCCATATGTCTCCGTTAAGCATTTCATTATTTTATTATATTTACCGACCACAAACCTTTGACTTACGCCTTACACACCACCACTGACAAATATTCACCGCATGAATTATGTCATCTAGACTATATTTTGCAAACCACATCGGACATCCGTCACATTTCTGGTGTGAATAACCCTGTCGCATACACACTGTCTCGTGTTTAGATCACTACTTTACCTCAGGCGGTTGACTTACAGAAGATTGCTGACCTTCAGCGTTCAGACGAGGAGATGGAAAAACTTCAACACTCAACCTCCCTGAAGATACAGCGCGCACCGCTTCTGAACAGTGAAGGGACAATCCTATGTGACATCTCCACAGGTACACTCAGACCTGTTGTTCCTTTACCTCTGCGTAAGCACGTTTTGATGCTCTGCACGGTCTTTCGCATTCTGGTATACGTGCTACTGACAAACTGATATCTGCTAGGTTTGTGTGGCAAGGTACTAACCGTGATGTTCGAAACTGGACAAGGTCATGTACTCAATGCCAACGTTCCAAGGTGAATCGTCATAACATTCCATCACTTGGAATTTTTTCGAAACCGGATTCACGATTTTCCCATGTTCATTTAGACATTGTTGGCCCACTTCTAACAGCTTATGGTTATTGCTACCTACTGACGTCTGTCGATAGGTTCACCTGCTGGCCGGAAGCGACCCCATTGTCCGACATTACTGCCGAGACGGTTAGTCGAGTCTTCGTCTAAAGATGGGTTTCACAATTTGGATACCCTTCCACCGTGACAGCCGACCGAGGTCAATAGTTCGAATCGGTTACCTGTTGAGTCTGTTGGGATGCAAATGCATTCGCACTGCTGCATATCACCCAGCTTCCAATGGTTTGTTGCAGCGGTTTCATCGACATCTTAATAGCGCACTAACAGCAGCTGACAATATAAAATGGACCGAGTCTCTGTCGTTGGTTCTTCTCAGCATTCGTTCAACACTTAAAAAAGATATACAGTGTACGCCTGCTGAGTTGGTTTACGACAGTAACTTACGTTTGCACGGTGAAATAGTCGCTTCAGATGGTAGTAACCCAACTCCTACTGATATCCGCAGTTATGCACACACTCTTAAGCTTCACATGCGTCGCCTCTAACCTCCATCCACACGAACTCAGTGTAGACGGGTGCAGTTGGATAAAAGACTTCAAGATTTCAGACACGTCTTTGTGCGTTGTGATGCCGTACGTAGACCCTTACAACCACCATACGACGGACCCGTCAAGCTCGTCAGCAAGAAAGAAAAGTTCTTCGTCATTGACAGATCAGGACGGCAGGATACCATAAGTGTCGATCGTTTGAAGGCAGCGTATTTGAAAAACGACCCACTTCCCTCTACATCAACACGACCCGAAAAACCCTTGCCGCGAGACCCGAAAAACCCTTGCCGCGAGACTCTCAAAAAGACTCGTGTAGTCGTGAGTATCCTGAATCTTCGAGATGCACATCCTTGAAAAGTTCTTGCAGTTTCTGCTGGTCAGTAAGTGCAACGCGTTTGATGAGGGCGGCTTTGAATCGATCGTACGAATTTGGTGCCGGGTCATCTAACACATCTGAGACATCGTCGATTATATTTTCCAGCAAGCTGACGGTAACTAACTTGGATTCAGCTACCCATGAGTGAATATGCTTCAAGGCAAATTGAGCTTCCACGTGGGAGAACCATGCGGATGGTCTTTGTGCCCAGAAGGTGGGAAGCTGAAGAGTTATGGCCATCTGTGCAGTAGAGTCGTCGTTATCAGCCATTGATAAGAGATATAAAGAGGCACGAAGTTGATAACAACAAAATTAAAATGTAAGAAACCAACAGAGAATGCAATACAAAAAAAAAACCGTGGCAAAAATAAATATGGAACAAATGAATCAACGCAGGATGTAAAAAAAAGTAGTAGAAAGAGTAAGAAATGATACTCGGACTCACCAATTGTAGTGAGTGCTTGTTGTGTTACTATTAGGTAACGTTTGATCAACCCTACTTAACTTGATGTCCTCTATTGCCTACTCAACCAGTACCTTACCTAACGTGTAAGTACTGATAACGAAACACAAATCAAATGGCCTGGTATTCATGAATAAATTCGAAGAAGTAATATATTTAATTAGAATAAATGTGATACTAATGAATAGGGGAAAAGTTTATTCAACTTATCTGACTAGTATGGCTGAACTCTCTGAGTACGTGCATGCTAACCGGCACAAAGGGAGCACAAAATGGCGTCGAAGCCTGTTCGGATGCATGCTCGTTAAAACAAAACTTAAAACACCTTAAGCATCTGGAGGAGAGCTAGAGGTTTATTTAGTTGATTTAATTTAATCTATTTACTTTAGCCCTAGTTACATTTTGGTGTCAGGAAGGTGTACTACAAACTCTTTTATGTAGTGAATTGCAATACCAACATCTATGTTATGATATTGAATGAATTCACATAGGAAGCAGATGATTTCTGTCAGTGGGATATTTATGAAGATGGACACGACACGACATTCAATGAAATCATTCTTTTACCTGTCTAATTCACATTCTTCATTGAATCAACAAAATGAAATGTATCACGGAGACTGTGGTTCAATAGCCTCTTCTTTACAGGTTCAACTTATTTCCACAAAGCATTTTGCGTTTAAATGATATGGAGAGTTTATTGGAGGGAGTGGAATGCTTACTTTCCGTGTTTATTTTCCTAATCCTTCATAGATTTATCCTGCATTGCATAGTCGGAATTAATTTAATAATCCATTGTCTATTTTCTTACTCTAAACGCAAATGAGTAATAATTAACTTCCTTTAGTTATTTAATATATTTTACCCTGTAAGCGTAAATCATTGTGGAACGTTCTGGTCAATGTAACATATATTCACGAATGTACAGCTTATTGAATGACTTTACGGATTGTCTTTGTGCGAAAGTCGCAGATGAAGATGCAAATCACAAACTATTCCTAGGTCTTATACATCCACGAATACGAAACCAAGGAAGAACCCAATAGAGTAGTTGGATGAGATAGCACATTTGCGAGGTCTTGTCAAGATAACAATGACTTCCAACTAACTGGCTAGAGAGTCGATTACAAGCAGTCCAACGTAACACGACAGCGTATCAAATGGTGTTGATGCTTGACCGGATGCCTTCTGCTTAGCAGGTCCAATTAAACTATGAAGGTCAGCACGAATATTGAATCTCGTCGAGTCCTAAGCTGCTGATGCTGGAGGAGTATGTGACGCCACAGATCACTCGCACGCTAGTGGGCTCGTGAGGACCTTAAGATTATACCGGTCGTAAGGAAAAACTCAGTGGTTTCTCCTCTGGTGAAACTTTTCAAATGGGCTCACTGTAGGAAGTGGCTCCTGGTTGTCTAAATTTGTTACAGTGTCGTGCCGAAATAAAAAATAAAATACAATGTATGAAATTGCACAGCGATCAATTTCAATATTTGGGCTACCTTTTTTGTAAACCATATCCAATGCCCAAAGACTATTTGATGGTTTGATGATGTTCCGTTCGAGCATATGGTCGAATTCACTTTTCGCCGTTTTCAGCTTATTAGGGGCTAGACGAGGAGCTTTGGATGCCAGAGGTGGACCTATGGTTGTGATGTGATGCATAATATTACTGGTTATGCATGCCAGAGTATGCTTCGGTTGTTGTAACTCTGGATATTTCTCTAACACTGTTTGATAGGACGCGTCGCCTGAGTGTTTAGTTCTAACAATGGGTAAACTTGGACCTACGTAGGTGGTGCTGTTAATAGATAACTTCGTGTTGTTGTCTATCAGTTGCCATCGACGAGCATCTGTGAAGTAGATCGTAATGGTTAAGCAAATCTTTGGCAATGATGGGCATATAAACACAAGCTAGGAGGAAAATCTAGTAAATACATTTACGTAAACGTAAGTTGGGGTAAGCATATCGTCTCCCAAAGGTCGCAATCGCTTGCAGTTAGCTGCCTGAAGGGTGGGTCACGATGACTCTCCTTTTCCGGTGCGTGAAGAACGCTAACTCTAGCACCAGTGTGGACGAGGTAGCGAATTTTTGTTTTTATGTCGGTGACATAAAGCAGACGGCTTTTTCCGCTGGCTTCGGTTGCTGTGAGCGTGTGCCAGCGGGACAGTTTCCCGAGTTTGTATCTGTGTTGAAACTGCATAGTTGTTTGCATATTCTGGCTTCGTCCCCATAGTTATTATGAAACGAACACCATTTACGTTTTTCTACCCTGTTAGGTCTAACTTTTAGTCTACCACGCAGGTTTCTGCAATGGGTTGAGACGCGTTTCTATGATGTGCTGCGTAGCCTAGGGCTTCGGGTTCTTAGCAGCTATCTCACAGAGTTGCGCAGCTTGGTTACTTTTGAATCCTTGCTCTCAGGTTTTTCGAATATACATTAGAGATGGGTCTGCTAGATGTCTGCAGTATTTTATCCGCTGAGCCTGCCAGGTATTCGAGTGGAACTGACTGAAGTGTCCACTAACAGAAACAGTCCTCGGAACAGGCCATTGTCGGAAGTGCGTGTACCCATAACTTCTCGCATGCATATGAAGACTTCAGTAGCTGAGTTGCTGCCTAGCTCGATGTTACGAAGCAATTCATCTAGGCGCTGGCGATCTGTGATTATTACTTTTCTTCAGTAGCGCAGTTTTGAGAAGTGCATAGGGATTACTTGCATTGTCTGGCCAGTATGGCACGAGTTAGATGGAGTTCATCGTCGGCTTAATACGCCTAAGCTTCGGAATATGTTCGGACATGGAAAGGAGTTGCATATGAGTGCATTAAGGTTATCAAAATGAAAACGATATACAAGTATACAATGGAATAGTCTCACCAATTTAGGAATTTGTCCTGCTGCGAACTTGACAGACGTCGACACTAATAACTAATTATTCCTATTTCTTATACATCCACGAATACGAAACCAAGGAAGAACCCAATAGAGTAGTTGGATGAGATAGCACATTTGCGAGGTCTTGTCAAGATAACAATGACTTCCAACTAACTGGCTAGAGAGTCGATTACAAGCAGTCCAACGTAACACGACAGCGTATCAAATGGTGTTGATGCTTGACCGGATGCCTTCTGCTTAGTAAGTCCAATTAAACTATGAAGGTCAGCACGAATATTGAATCTCGTCGAGTCCTAAGCTGCTGATGCTGGAGGAGTATGTGACGCTACAGATCATTCGCGCGCTAGTGGGCTCATGATAAGATAATATCGGCCTATTTCATCACCACAAGTTTATTAATTGACCGAGATTGATTTGACCTTCACCCATACAAAGAACTTTTGACCCTATATTCAAATTATTAACTAATTACACACACTCGTGTAATACTTTCTATTCCATTTTATTATTGATCATATGTAGCAAGATGACAGTTTGACTATATAAACATCATGATAAATTTCTCAATCTGCACCAATGGATTATTATCGTCATGATAAGTGAAGTATGTAGGTTGGATGGCTCTGGATGGATATCTTATGATTTTATAGCCTGTAGGCAGTTGAAAAGATGATGAAAGAATGTATGAACTCATCATATTTTTCAAAATTTGCTGTCGTAATGTAGCTTTACTAAAAATTTTCAAGGGAAGTGTTCTCCTTTAGAACTCACGCAGCTGTGTAAGGGTTTATGGAGAGTGGTCATGTGAACTGGCAACAACTAGTTGTGTCTACCAGCGATTTCCGATGTTACCGTTCTTATTTAACTTCGTTATTGACGTACTAATGAACATAACCTTAGGTACGTTTGACTTTACAGGGATTGACTTACTTCCCTGGAGGTTGTCTGGTTGACTTGGAATATGCAGACGATATTGTTCTAGTAAGTGATTACGCTGAAAAAATGCAGGGTCTTGTGAACGCGTTGGGGAGAAATCTGAGTATTTTTTGCATGCGTTTCGCCGGCACCTGTGAAATGTAAGATGATGCTTCAAGACTGATCTTCTATCATTCTCAGTTTAATGATAGAGTGTGGTGGTAGAATATGCCAACCACTTCATTCGATTGGGGAGTTGCATCAGCCCTAATGGGCTGCTTGCTGACGAAATCTCAGCTTGGATACATAAGGTCCACCTGGCAGTTGCCAACTTGCATCCCCTGTGGTGCTGATTGGTGAGATATCTGGCTATCTATCAAAGGACAAGTAAACTACGCTGCAGTCCGCCCTGTCCTGTTGTACAGCTGAGAAATCTCCATTGAAAGGAGAGGATATGAAGCGGTCACAGGGTTTCGATCACAGATGTCTTCGTGGTAGAATCACCGTATAAGCAATGTTGAGGCCAAGAAAAGGATACTAGGCGAAACATGCAAGCCGATTGGTGAAGTTGGTGTACATTAATCAGTTGAGATGACTTGGACACGTGTTGCACTTTCCAAGCCACCGCCTACCTCAGTGTGTAGTGCCAGGGTATGTTGAATTATGTTAGATGAGGGTTCAGGGTAGCCGGACAAAGACGTGGCACTAGTCGATGAAGTATCTTACTGTGGGCCTGAGTCGTGTTTCGATTCTCAAGCGGAAAGCAATCAGTGGTTGAGGACTCTCAGTAATACGGTTGAAAATTGGTGGCAGTAGCGCAGATATATTCACTTCTTAGCATCTAAAGCTTGGAGATTTGCACTAACCTTTACCTTCAGAATGTTTATTCTCCTACTCCATTTTCTATTCATCTGCTATTTGTGTACTACTGTGAAATGTAGATACTTGAGTCGATGCACCTGTGCGCAATTTATCAGTTATCAGTTTGTAAATGACACTTAAGGAGGACTCAGTTACAGCTACATGTCCAGAGTTGATCAAATTTTCAAGGAATTGAACTGTTAATTGATCTACATTCTCCCTTTGACAACCATGCAGGATAATGTTCAGAGATATGCCTAGAAAGTGAGTGCTTTGTATAGTGAAGTAAATGTAATATAAAAGTTAATAATAGTTTTGAAGTAATTGTAAAGTGACAAGTATTTATAGAGAAGGGAATCATAAGAAGAGAGGAGATGGAGACTAAATTACTGACAATAGAAGTATTCTGTGTACAAGTCAATCAAATTCCTTCATTCTTCGATAACGATATATCTGATTAAATTTCAATTTTTAAAGATCTCTTAACATCTTTTGGGATAGGAATTGGTTTTTGAGGATTATGATCAATAGTTTGGTGTAATAGAATACCAAGTATACCACCACGTTGAGACATTGCGCGTTGTAATCTTTGTTCTTCTTGCATCAATTCATCCATTTGTATCAGCTTAAAAATTGAAGGATTGGAGAGAGAAAAAAAATAGTTGATCAGACTGTTTGAAATACCTTCAGATAACAGATAAGTATTTATATAAAGAGATAGGGTTGAGAAACGCTTCGTCAAATTCTACAACCATATACGATTTTACTGACTTCCAGTCGCTAGTCTCATAGGAAAAAAAAATAAGTGAAACTCATTTTACATGGCATATAACATTAATAATCATTCGGGTATTATATGACTCCTTGACGGGTTTATTGAGAAATATAGGTACACTCAAATAGTTCACATCAGTAGCTATATCAACATAGGACCAGGCATTACTGCGTAACAGTCCGAGTTGCCACAACTCATCATATCAGTACATAAAGTAAAAAGTCAGTGAAGTACAAGATGAAGAAAAGAAAATTCAATCAAAAGAAATATTAAGTACAAAAAGAGAGAAAGGAAGAATGTGGGAATGGTGAGATTCACTACAGCGTCTTTAAGATGGGGATAATGTGTGTATACATCTGCACCACTCTCATCAGTTCTCAACCATGTGATCACCTACAGTCAGTCTCCAACCACTGGTTTCTCTTGTCACGCACACACCAACCAACCAGTCTACAAAATCAACCTACATGCCTAAAAACCAACAGTCAAACACTTCATACATTCATGTCATGTTTTAGTCTGGTCGACAGCCAACAGCCCTGTGCCAGTCTGAACCTACTTCGGTCAACATTGTGTGACGAGACAGATGGCGAATAGGCACACGTAACACATATGTCCCAGTCAGCCATCTCACTCCATGAAGGTTCACAACAGTGTCAACTCACTCAACAGACCTCTTCTCCCTAAAACTCTACACCTGACTTCTCCGTTACTCATGTGATGACACCACGGAATACGGCCTATACTACGAGGACAACAGTGGTCAAACACCTGAAGCCAGCCTTCTCATGTCTTCCACCTTCAATGACCATGTTTCACAGTCATAGAGTAGAACAGAGAGGACTGATGTGCAGTACATGCGACACTTAACAGACAATCGGATATCACGGCGGCGCCATAGGTGGTGTAAGTTGGCGAAAGCCAGTAGAGCATTTTGTATCCGTGCAGAGATTTCATCGGCCACTGAGCCACCAGGGCTGATCTTCCTTTGCTTCCCAGGTAAGTGAAGTGGTCGACACACTCAACCACTACATTCACTCTCTATTGTTAGCCGGGGAGGCACCGTTGAACACCAGTCCTGGAGCAACAATTTGCATTTCGGTGGTGAGAAACACATCTCAAATATTCTCAAATTGTCACTCAAAGTGTCCAGAAGACTCTCCATCTTGTCAGCATCTTTACCTAACACGACTATATCATCTGCATATTCTAGATCTAACGAAAATTCTCCCGTGATTAGGTTAACGTCTGTGTAATCAGGTGACGAGGGGGAGAACCCCATACGAATATCTATGATAAAACTGAATAAGAATGAAAACAGTGGGCACTCTTGACGGACAATACTCGATGAGCATAGCTCCCTGGACATCTCACTATAGCCTCTAACACGTCCACAAGTGTTCGAGTAGAGATCCTTCAATAAGTTGATGTACTTACTCAGCACGCCTTTCAGTGAGAGACATTACAATAAGACCTCTAGATCAACGGAGTCGAATGCTGCCGCCTTCACGTCGAGAAATACAGCTATTATTGAGTGTCGGTAAGTGTGCCTGTATTTCAGAACCTGGTGCAGTGTGAATATTCGGTCGATACACTCGCGGTCGGGTCTAAAGCCTGCCTGGTTTAATCGGGCTTGCTGTTCTCGAGCTTCACTCAGGCGTCGGAGAATTATATAACCTAGGATATTGGACACTATGTCCGTCAGGCTGAATATCAACAAGAGGACTGCTCGCCTTTCTTGAAGACTGAGATAATCAGTAAACACGCAAATAGTTCCAATTTTGTGTAAGATATCTAGAGTCTTTAACCACCGATTTCGGTTGTTTTGTGGATACCAACAGGGAAGTGTGTCTACATTTCCCTACATGCGCTGATGCTGTTTGTTTCGTCTGGCTATCATTAGCCTTTTTCACTAACGTCGTACGTTGTTAGGGCAGACGGTGGACTAGGCGTGTGTGACACACATGTTGCAGCTATCTGAATTAATACAGTTCTATGACTTCAACTGACTTACCTTTTTTATCGAAAACGTATCGCTTGATGCAGTAAGCATACCTCAGTTACTGCTTACACCGATATTGAATGTTAGTCAAAGTAGGAGATTACTCTGGAAATAAGTTAAGAGTAGGTAAAACGAGATGTAGAATAAATGCATGGAACCTCTCGTTGTTCATTCGAGTCATCTAGATGACTGTAGGCTTACTGACTAAGGGTCAAAAATCTCTAGTCAAATTTCTTCTCCCTCATATATTTGTTACTTGTTAACCTGATAACTTCTCATGTCCCAGAACTTTTTCCTGTGTTACTGTGAGCAGTTGCAACTTGAAATAATGATCTTCCAAGCAAACCTCTAAGTTAATGGATAGGTTTTTTGAAAAGATAAGGGAGATAGTCGTATGTAGTGGAATTTATCAATAATAAAGGTTGATCAGTAAAAGATGAGGTAATAAAAAATCAGTCATAACCAATAACAGACAGATAGAATCAACCAACCGATAGCTGCTACCTTGACGTGGTGGCAGAGCTTGCATATCACAATAACCCAACGACCTTTGCTGGTGGAACGCTTGTTCTCTAGAGGTTTTATTACACCAGAAAGGTCTGTTGGATAGTGGTACGGTAAAAAGCAGTTACCATTTTAGTGTAGATTACTACACTATAAAACGGGTCTAAGGGTGAAGTCGTACTGCTGACTGGACGGCGGTCAGAAAGCAGTAACGTGTTTCCCTTAGATGATCAGCACTGCTACGCAGGCTCTACCTTTCCAATAGGAAGAGGGAGGGGTTAGAAGAGGGTCGGGCCCAAAAATAGCACACTCCCACCCGCTCACCGCGTACCGACGCTTGCAACAGGGATTCATAGTCGGATTCAAAAGCAAAACCCAAAATATCAACCTTAACAAAAGACCATGTGTGACCGGCCTCAAGCTGACATCTTTTGTGCTCTGCAATCACACACTATCCCTCCTTTTTCAAGCACCCCAAAAAGAAATAGCCTTCCACGGTGTGGGCAGTCGGAGAGCGTTAACCGCCGAAACGCTTTCAGTATAACCAATAACGGATTTCAACGAACTAATTGACTAGTAATCAAGCCCTCCATTCGACTATGAGAAAACAGATGATAAAAACGTTTCAATTAGTTATATATCAGTTTGGTTGTAACTAAACTGTGATGATGTATAGAAAATAATTCACCGAAATATCACTAACCTGCTCATGCAACTGCTTTGAAAAAACTGATTTAAAATCAAGTGTAAGAAAAATAATTCGGAATTTTAAATTGAAATTGAATGCTCATGTTATCGTTTATAGTTTCCACACATTGATTGGACCGATTTGATCTGTCTCTATTAACATATGAGCTCCTCCGTGAATGCCAGAAATTTCAGTTTGTTACTAATGGTGGGCATTGGCTGGTAGTGGAATCCACCCCGCACGTTTTGTTCCATTTAGGACCCTTCAGCTGGATATAACCTGGACCCCAGTGAGTAATGTTTTCCATACCAGGACTCGAACCCGAGACCGATCGCTCTAAACGCCACGGCTTTATCTACTAGGCCACTGAGTCACAATAGCCACTCCGAGGTATAGTTTTTGATATTACTACTTGTAATTTCCCATCACTGATTGGGTCGAATAGATCAATCTCTACTGGTATAAAGGGGCTCTCCTGTGTAGGTATCTTGATACTTCCTGTAGTTTCTGTTTTTGGTAATAATGATGGATAGTGGCTAGCAATAGAATCCTTAGATGGAATGCGGTGATAAATTCTTCTTTTTTAAAAGAAGTTCGTCTAAAAGTTCGTCTCAGTGTTTCCACTGGAGTTAGAAATTAACACTGTTATTGCGAAAACACAGTTAAGGTAACAGCTCATCTGCCTTGGTTACTACAATGAGTCCTACTTTCTAGTGTTGCATAAATGAACATCATTCGATCGTACTTCATTGGATAAGGCTAACAAACTGATTCCATATTAGACTTATTCATTGATACTTGTAATTTCCCGCTGATACACTGGGTCGAATTGCTCGATCTCTGTTAGCAGATGGGTTCCTCTATACAGATGCCTCGATACTGCCTGGATATTCATATTGTATACTCTAGTCTGTTTTATGGCTAACAGTGCAATCGAAGACAGGTGTTTTGTTTTAGTCAGTACTCTTCTGCTGGATTCACCTACACTACGGACCCGAAGCCAGTACTCATCGCTTCAAATGTCAAAGCGTTACCCATTAGATCACTAGAGCAGGAATACGAATATTCGGTCGGTATTGAAGTATCCATATAGAAGCTCATCTGCTAATAGAGGTCGAGCAACTCGATCTAGTGTAAACAACAACTAATACCTGTTGTACAAATGGTGGCTTTCATTCCCATATGGATAACGCTTTGGCGTTTAAATCTCAGTGGAAACAGTATCACTCACTGGGGTGTAGGTATATCAAGCTGACGAGTCCTAAATAACATAAAAACCATGTCTTAGAATCCCCTGCTAGCCATCAAATAGGCTACATTCCATATTACACATGTTGATTTGATAGAGGAATATAGTGGTACACTATCACACTATTTACTTGATAATACCGAAAAGTGATAACTCATGATGATTTATGTGTGTACCATGACGCTGTTCCAAATATGGTTAGCTAACTTAGTATTATAAAATGCATACAAAGATGTTGGTTTACGTAAACACAATCAATAATGATGGTGTAATTGGAAGAGATACATCAGTATAGGGCTATCCGGTTGCTTATGTAGATGCAGTAGAGTTTCAATTGTATATGATCTGACTGTAATGGAAAACTATACTAAACATTAATTATCACTTACACAACGATATCGTTCCAAATCTATTTTAGCTCTACGTAGACGTTCCCAACCAACATGTTTAGTACATTTATTCCGTGGTACACAACAAAATTCACCAGTTTCTTCAAATACATTACGTACAAGTGGTGAACCACACACTGTATCTGCTGGCAATTTTGGTTCTTTATAATGTTCACAGACAACACGTAATCGTTTACAATAGGCTCTAGCTTGTGAATCATATGCATCACAAAATAATGGTGTACCCATAATTTGTTCTTTTTGATTAGCACAGAATACAGTGTTCCCCTCCATCTGGAATGAAATCAAGAAAAGTAAAGGTCATTGAAATAAATTTATTTACTGGATATAAATCTTCAAGGAGCAACATTTCATCAAGAGTTTTCAGTCATTGATTTCTTTCCTTTTTGGAAATCCAGTCAGGTAGTCTATATTTCCCCCAACACAGCTCAGAGAAATAGTCAGTGACTTCATCTACTTGAAGTCTCATCTTGGTCTGTTCACCTTGAACCCTCTTCAAACTTAATTCAACTCCTATCAGAATAGTACATAGAGGTAAGCAGTGGCTCGGCATGCAAGGTGCACAACCTGACTAATCAGCTTACCTGTCTTGCTTAACATCCTTCGCCTACCCCCAACATTGCTCATACGGTGATTCCACCACTCGCAATCAGTGCTACAAAGGTATCTGTGATCAAAACTTCGTAACCATTTCAGATATTCTACTTTCAACGGAGATGTTTCACAGTCGTATAGCTGGACAGGATGGATTGCAGCGCAGTATACGCCTCCTTCGATAGAAAGCATATGATGGTCTTAATCGTTCATCAGCTATTTTCCTTTCCTTTCATTATAATTAATTAGCTTACTATTATCACCTTTGTTACGTTCTTTGTTTCTTGCCTCACGTTCTTTACATCTATAAACTTAACACTCAATCATCGTATTTCACATCTACCAACAGCTTCCCTCCGTGTAAGATCACTTGCCTACCCCTTGATTTTTCAAGTAGGTGTTCATCATGAACTAACGTCAGTTGGACAAACATTGGAAAACTGGGAGTACTGAATAGCAGCTATTTCGTCCCAGTATGGGACTCTTCAGCAGTGCGCGACCATGACCGAACTGCGCCTGGGATCGAACCCAGCACCTTTAGGTGTCGCAGCCAGCTTGTTACCATCGAACCACAACGTTGGAATCCAATGATCCGTATATCCAACTTCTTTCAGTTCATGACATAGCGTGACCATCACCCCACCGGTCACGACATCTCATTGTAACTTCAGGAATCACCTCTGGAAGTTAATCACCAATGAGTACTGGATGAACTGAATTTTGGGGTTTGTGGGGATTTTGTTATGCTTGAAGTTGGTATTCATCATGGATAGAAGTTGGAAATATGGACCATTCGATTAAGAACCGGTAGCTCAATGGTAACATGGTGATCACGAAACCTGAATGTTCTGGGTCCGACCTCTGACGTGGTCATGAGTGCGCATTGCTGAGAAGTCGCATACTAGGACGAAACAGCTATCGAGTGCTCTCACCTTTTCAATGTTTCTCCAACTGATGTTAATCCATGATGAATAAAAAACTTGAAAAATCACTGAATCCTCGCAAACCCCCGAATTCAATGTCTCCTTATTTGCATTGTCCAACAAATCATTACACAATTGCTTTTCAGTCTTCATTTTAGTCGGTTCATTAGCCTATTGATACAACTACATTATATTGTTCAATAACAGACCGTGTTATATATAATATATGTGAGACATAACATAATAATTCTTACCTTTTGAAAACATTTCTCCATATGCTTTAAAGCATGTCGCATGCTAATTTCAGCTGAACACGTAACACATACTATGGGCTCCATCTGTTCAACTTGTTCAACATCTTGAGCAACTGCAGCGAGCTAGGTAAACAATAAAATAAAACATTGAAGGGATTAATTTACACGAACTGGTTACTTCTGAGGAACTGATATAGTTGACTAGGTGTTAGAGCAAGGAGTAGGAAGGACTTAGAAAGCCATATCAGTTACCCAGGAACCACTAATTCTTTCAGATAATCTAGTCCTAAAATGGCTTGGTCACACCCTAAGTATTTTAGTGGTAAAGTCTCTAGTCTTAGCAGAGTGTGACCCAGGTTCAAACCACCAACAGGACACAAACACACACTTTTTTACGATTGCAGATACGACTACCTCATGATTGCTGATAAACACGAAGCCTGTGGTCACGGTTACTTATCGAATGACTTCCAGTATTTTTCATTAAAACAGGAATCGATTTAAGAAAATCCAACTCAACAACCACAATACAGATGTGTAAGCTACGCTATACGTTAACCCTAGTGTGTAAACCCTACAAATGACACCAGGTGATTCCTCAATCCTTGGGATATTCAACTGTGTTCGAGATCGTAGATAGTGAATCTCTTTAGGCTGACCAAACACACAGAACACGTCCAACAATTGAAAATGCTATACTTAATAAAACAAAATGACATGAAATGAGTGAAAGAAAAGCCTAACTGAAGGGAATAACTCGAAAATACACATACAGTCAACTATTGATTCACCATATCTATAAAGTATACACGTACTGTATTCTGGATGGATACGTTTTCATGATAATATAAACTGTTGTGCAAACATATGCGTTCTTGTGCATCGGTTAGCACTGCCGTCTGAAATTCACGAGACAAATGATTATTATTATTTGTCCCTTGGGTTCCTGATGGAACATAGGGCTTCAGTAGCACGTCTCCATTTCACTCTCTCCTCTGTAGCCTTTTCTTCTAACCTGGCTCCAACACTGCCCAGAAGCTTTCATTTCTTCATCACATCATCTCCACGTCACTAACACCTGGGACGCCTAACTCGTCATTTCCCCTTTGGATCCCACTCGACAGCTTGGCATGGCGCGTGATGTCCCCAATCAGTCTTCTCAGTGTGTGCCCAATCAAACCCATCTCCACTCTCTTCTGCATATTTGTTACGTGATACGTTCTCGGTTGGTTCGTTCCCAGAGTTCTTTGTTGCTTATTCTTTCTCGCCTTCTCACCTAATCTGTTCTCATCTTCAGTATCGAGTGAACGAGGCAGTGTAGGTGGCAGCTGTTGATGAATGTCTGTAGTTTGTTGGAAATGCTTTCCGTGACGCGCCAAGTCTCTCAACCATCACATAGAAGCACTGACTTGACTGACATTAGTGTTGAAAAACTGGATGTTGTTCACGTTTTATGCTGAGTGTAGTGTAGTGCAGTGCAGTGCAGTGCAATGGGGTGGAGTAGATCTCCACACTGATTTCAGACTAGTGAAGGAAGGAAGGCCTGTCTTGTTGTCTTTCCGATTCTGGTTTTGACATCCTCATCAGTGTCGCCATGTGTAGTTGAAACGATGCTGCCTAGGTGAGGTGGGTAGATGAAATAGACTACTTCCTTTAGGTTTCTCCTGTTGATGGTGATTGGTGCTTGTTGTCGTTATTGTTGTTGGTTGGGTATCTTCATCACCTCTGTCTTCTTTGCGTTCACTTGAAGTCCCGTCTTCGCTGCCACTTCTATCAACTTATTGGTTTTTGCCTGTTGGATAGTACTTATATATATAATAACTATAGATACCAACGTACAGTTTCTAAAAAATGTTTCGTCGAAAAGAAAATTTTCTTTGCTGATTTATTTTTGGTTACTTTTCATGATCTAGTTAATTCATAAGTTGTATGGCGGCAGATGTCATGATCGCTAAATTTCCTTCAGAACTTGATAACTACCCCTCTATAGAAGATCAGTAGAATATACACATTGAATAACGAATCATACAAACCAATCTTATTCAGTGTTCCTTTAACTATTGAAGGTGAAAATACCAGTTACATGAATGGAATCCTAATCAACTAATTACCACAAGAGACTCAGTAGTCTTTTAGGAGAATACCTGAGTCCTACAGTGAAACAATTCAACTAACAGTCTTCTATTCCAGTCAGTCAAATCACATTCACTTTCGATAAACAATTAACCAGTATATAAATCAGATACACATGGAGGAATTCTTCAAACTAGATGACAAAAAAAATTACTTTTTAATAAAGTTCTATTTGTTTATTTTTATTTTGATGAATAAAGATATAATCACTATTTGAAACAATAAAAAGATGGAGATTATCTGAGAAATGTGATGTATTTGAAAGAGCTATTACTATTATGCACCAATAAGGTTCACTTCACTTTTGATGGTGAATATTTTCGACAAGTTGATGGTATTACTATGGACAGTCGCTCAGGATCATTATTAGCTGATGTCTACATGTCACATGTAGAATTTTTGGCTAAGGATATTTATCAGCAAAGTCTGTCTATATGGGAGATACGTTGATGATATCTTAGTTATATGTAACAAACGTGAGAATGCGAAAAGTCTTCTAGATCGACTTAACACCGTACAAAGCTACATTAATTTATCCTGTGAAGCAGAAAATAATAATCAACCTCCTTTTCTTCACTAGAAGGGAAGATGGATCGATAAAAAGATCAATGGATAGAAAACCTACGTGAACTGGACAGTACCTTTACTTTCATAGTTTCCGTCCAATATAATACAAGCGAGGTTTATTAAAGTGGTTATTCAAAAGAACCTAACGCATCTGCATAACAGATCCATTGAAAGAAGAATTCAAATATTTAACAAAGACACTCATGGAAAATGCATATCTTCTGAAGTTCATCAATCATTATAAAAACCTTGTAGTTCAGTTGGTAGAGGACCGGGCCGGTAACCTGGCGGTGGCTGGTTCGAATCCGACCGCGTCCAGATTTTCATCTCACCTTCAATCGTCACCCAGTATAAATACAAGTCTGCCAAATTATGGCTATCTCAGATAGTCAAACTGATAATCATTATAAAAACGTCTCAACGGTGAGAACTAATCAGTATTCTATCCCGAAGAAGGATGTTTACATCAAACAGTATGATTTTAAGATGAAGACTTAAATCAGTTATTAGAAAGACATACTATGCAGTCAAGCTCAATATTATCGACAAAATGAAATCTATGCATCAAAATAAACCTCATCACTACATAGTTGATTACGTCACATCCCACTGTGTATACCAATCTATGTGTCTGTACGGTGACACCTACATTGGGAAGAGTAATCGAACTATGAAGTCGACAGTGGTGGAGCACTTCCCTAAGTGGTTAGAAAAACAATTACATCCAAATAATCCGATCAGTTCAGGGTTTAGACAGACGTTATCGTCGATAGGTAAACACACATTATAGAAACAAGTCACAGAACTGACGTCAAAACAGCCTTCAGACCATTGTATAGCAGCTATCAAGACCGTATACTTAGGTTCATTGAAGCATTAGCTATACAAAAGTTTCAACCCCCTTTGTGTGCATTTAAAAGCAATTTGTCCTTACCTTAAACCTTCAGCCTTGGTAATCTTCATCTCATTTTAATGCCAAGGGAGGTGTGAGGATGTACTATTCCTCCTCATTATTATCCCCTTATATTTTCCAAATCCTGTATTATCTTAACCTCACCTGGTTAACTAGTTCACTAGTTACTAGCCGGTCATAAGCCAGGGTAAAGAGGGAAGGTTGGGCATAGGGCTAGCAATTATACCCTGTAAAACAAATCTAACCGCTAAAGAAACTTCAAAGCACAAACAAAATATTAAAAAAAAACCTATTCCTCTCTGGAATCGGAGAGGCGAAAGGACGCCATTTGGTGAAAGCCTTCGAGAAGCCAATTGGCCGATATGTCTTCTCTCGATGAAAGCAAAAGTAAACATGGGGACATGGAATGTCCGCACGATGTTTGAACCCAGCAAGGCTGCCCAGATTGCAAAAGAGATGAGAAGGTATAGCATAGAAGTGCTACGAATCTGCGAAGGCAGATGGGATGGAAGTCGACACTCCAAACTGTCAACTGGAGAGTCAATAATCTACTCCGATAGTCACCCAGACGACAACCACGAGCACACTGAGGAAGTGGCTATCATGATGTCCCCAGCAGCATCGAAGGTTCTCATACAGTGGGGACCAATCTCCTCCAGGATCATAACAGCAAGGTTCAACTCGAAAGGAAAGAGTCACAATCGTACAATGCTACGCACCTACAAAAAATGCAGATGAAGAGAACAAGAAGGAATTCTACAGACAACTGCAATCAACACTAGACAAGACCCCAGCTCGGATGGCGACATCAAAATTCTAATGGGCGACATGAATGCTAAACTCGGAGCGGACAACACAGGAAGAGAACTAACCATGGGTGGAGAAGCGCTCGGTGAAATGAACGAGAATGGAGAATTGTTTGCAGAGTTCTGCGCATTCAACGATTTGGTGATTGGAGGTACTGTGTTCAGGCATAAGGATATCCACAAAACGACATTTTCATCCTCCATATAAAATGTGTTGACAAGTAAATGTGTGATGAGATTGTTCAAAATGTGTTGGGCGAATACATCACACACATTTCCCAGATAACCTCCGTCTTCTTATTACACTATGCATAAGCATTATTATTAAATAAAGCAAGTGAGCTAAAATAACAACATAGTTTCTTTTACTCAGAAAAAAACAAATTTTTTACCATTTGTTCGTTATTTCGTCCAGTTTTACGTTCTTGAGCATGATTGATAAGTGTTGTCAGTTTTTGATGCTCCATTTCTAGTTCAATTAATCGATTATGTACTGCACACTGTTCTTTACTAATCTCTTCAAGACGTGATTTATCAATAACAGTAGCCATACAATCAGGTAATTTTACTAACTCTGAAAGTGTATTCCTATCCTTTGATAGTAGATCAGGATACCAAGTCTTAAAACTTTCTGGTAATAAGGTTTCCAAGCGTCTAGTAGAAGTGTGAGAAAGGGGGAAGGGAGAGAGGGAGAAAGAAAAGGCAACATTTCAACCTTTAAACATGTGGAATTTATATTTTCATACTGACTTATTTATTTAAGCAGTTAACTTGTAACCAGCAGTTCACGAGTTCAAACACCGCATCATCTACCGAGGTTCGGACCACCAGATAGTAGTATAATTAACCCTTACACTGCCTACTGCATAAATTCGTATGTCCTTGATTGCATTTCCATTTGAATTAACATTTAACCAAGAAAGATAAATAGATTATTATGAAATGGCATATGATTTTGTTGTAAATAGCTTGCAATGTATTGGGTACAAGTGACTAGAGTTAGTTGAACGATATTACCATTTGTGAGAACATGTTACCAATGCATGAAATCTCTGACTGTTGGTTTGAGGCATGTGGGGCGATGCAAACTAGGTGGTTGCGGTCCGCGAAACAACAGGAACCAGTGGCTGGAGACTCTAGGTGATCACATGGCTCAGAACCGATGTCAGTGGCGCAGACGTATACACACACATTATCCTCATCTTAACGTTTTGCCGATTCTCACCGTTTTGTCATTCTTCCTTTCTTTCTCGTACTTTATATTTCTTTTGACTGAATTTTCTTATCTTCATCTTTCACCTTACTACCTTTCTATTTGATGTACTGTACTGAGCTGTGGCAACTCGGACCGTTACGCAGTAATGCCTGGTCCTGTGTTGATATTGATTATGATGAGAACATGCTACAGGTAATCTAGAGACACATGCTTCAAAGAGAAAATTCATGGGCACCAAGTAGTATAGTTTATCGAATCATATCAACTTATTGTAGTAAGGAAACTTCACACAATAGACTTATACATATTACTATGTGATGCGTATTCCCCCAACTTACCTAAACACTAATACACAGAATTCCATTCAGATCAGTGACCTAAGTCATGTAGGGAGAGATGTAGACTACCTGGTTGGGGTCGCCCAGACAAAAGGAATCCGTAGTTGAGGATACTTGGTCACAGTAGCATAGATGTATTCACTTCATGACATCTTCTAAACCCTGAGTATTTTCACTATCCATTATCATCAGATTGTTTATTCTCTTTGATATCACTCTTTTTCTATCCACATGTCTTTGTATACTAATGTAAAATGTGGTAATTTGAGATGACGCATCTGTCTGCCAGGTTCTTCTTTGATTTTTTTTGTCTGCCTGCTGCAAGTGATTATCGGTCTCTCATTGCCTACCAGATTATCCGACTATGTATCCTCTTTACTGAGAATCTTATGCATCCTGGTCTACTATGCTCACACCAAACCGATAAAATCCTTTTATTTCTTTGGCTGATAAAGTTACCTGGTTAGACACATTTGTAGAGACTCTTTCCTTCCTGAAAATACTGACCTTCTCCTCCTAGAGGGGAGAGCGAAAGTTGAAGGGGTGGATCCATTATGAGTAGTTTATTCCATGAAGGATAAGTAGTATTATCAGTACACACTGAATTTTATCAACTTCAAATGTGATTGTAAGACTTGAAAAGTGACCACTCTGATTCCTCTGTATTTGCCGTCTTCGTATCATTTACTTCGAGTGAAGCTGTGGCTCATTTCTTTAGACGATTGACTTTCAACCAGTGGGTTGAGGGTTCGAGGACGGCTCCACTTGCCAAAGTTACCATTAGCCTTCACACAACAGGTGTGGTTGACTGCCTACTGTACGAATTTGCACAAGGTTGTTAATTGGATTTCGATAGTCACTTTGAATTGATGAATATACAATCGAAGTCAAACGAGGCTGGTCGTTCGTTGGTCCTCCCCACAACTAAATAGTATCAAATACAATTCGCCGAGATGTTGACTATTTGCACTAACCCTTATCTTCTCTCACACAATTGTTTCCACTTTGATATCCCTCCTTTTCTATCCACCTGTTCTTTCTGTACTACTGTGAAGTGTAGCAACTTGAACCAATACAACTATCTGCAAGGTTCAACGTCAGTCAGTTCGTCAATTGGTTGAAAATCAAAATAATAAACCTATTAAGTCTAACAACTTCGTAATAATTAAGTAATACAACATTATAGGGTAGTTATGCACTATACACGTCTAAACGTACTTCGTACAACTTCTACTTTTCATGCCTACCAACCACAATTTTTTAAAAAGATATATTTACAAATTCAGAGAACGTTATACTCAGTTAGGGATTCAAAGGTGCAATTTACAGATACTATATTTCACAAAATAGGTATTTATACTAGGTGATGATTGAAGGTTAACTGAAAATTTGAACTGCAGCCGGACTCGAACCAGCGGCCTGGCTTGATGCTGTGCCAACTGAACTACGAGGCCTGACAGCTCACCTGATTTTTATTTCACTTCAATTAGTCAAGTGTTTTACCCGAATACCATGTGAATTCGTGGCACGTTACTACCGACTGGTCGTATTCACATTGGTTACCTAGTCAGGACTTCTCATCCGAGTCAAAACCTATCGAAATTAGAGATGGGGGGAGGCATCGTACTGATTATTATTTTGACTATTTGAGATAGCCGTAGTTTGACAGAGCAGCAACTTTACTTCGTGATGACTGCGGGCATATTCGAACCAGCGACCATCGGGGTTTCCGGCTCGATACTCTATCAACTGAGCAGGTAGTAAAAAAAAAACAGAAAAATCAAAGTATAGTTGAATGACTAACCTGATAGCAAGTTTTAAACCACATTCATGAGAACAATATTTCGTATCTGGCCGTGCTGCAGGTCGAGTACATCCAGGACCAAAACATTGTCGAGGATTTTTTAATTCATTGGGTATTAATGGATCAGACACTTTCTGTGGATTAGTATCAGCCTTTTCAGCTTTATCTGTTCGGCGTGTATTATTCACTTTACGACTAGACGATGAGGTATGAACTGTTCGATTAATATTCTTTGGTCGACTGGTAGATTTGGAAGACGATTTATTCGAAGAAACAATACGATTACTTCCAGAGTTGTAGTGATTTGTTCTTGATAAACTTCCACCAAACCTACGTTGAGAACGATCTGTAGTATAAGAGGTTTTTCGATGTGAACTGCAACCATTTAGAGTTTTACGTGAACTAGTAGTTTGTGTTCGAGAAGCACGACTAGAACGCTGAAATTAACCAGATGAGAGCAATTAATGTCCCAGTAAAAACTTTTTTTTAAACGCTTAACAGTTTCACTTTAGCGAACAGTGCTGTGCTGTCATACTGACAAAAAGAATAACATTTTCAAGTTACTCAACAAATACACACTTTTAGCACGGATTTATTCTAGGAGAGATATTCAACGAAAGACTCAAAATCCAATGTGGCAATGTTAACTACCTCAATATTTAGTAATATAATGGGGCAAAAAAATGAAGACAGGACCAAAACATGGTTGCCGCCTACTATAAACGATGATCTTCCTGATATTGGTCGACTGGATCATGCAGCAAACCGTGAGGAGCGAGAAGATAGGCATACACTGTTTGACTGATAACAAGACACCAGAAGAAGATTTGGATTTTGCCCATAACGATTTATGTATAGTGTCTTATGTCGCACAAACTCGAACATCTATAAGTGAAAACTAACAAGTTGACAGAAGTGGCAGCGAAGACGGGACTTCAAGTGAACGCAAAGAAGACAGAGGTGATGAAGATACCCAACCAACAACAATAACGACAACAAGCACCAATCACCATCAACAAGAGAAACCTAAAGGAAGTAGTCTGTTTCACCTACCCACCTCACCTAGGCAGCATCGTTTCAACTACACATGGCGACACTGATGAGGATGTCAAAACCAGAATCGGAAAGACAACAAGACAGGCCTTCCTTCCTTCACTAGTCTGAAATCAGTGTGGAGATCTACTCCATCCCATTGCACTGCACTACACTACACCACACTACACTACACTCAGCATAAAACGTGAACAACATCCAGTTTTTCAACACTAATGTCAATCAAGTCAGTGCTTCTATGTGATGGTTGAGAGACTTGGCACGTCACGGAAAGCATTTCCAACAAACTACAGACATTCATCAACAGCTGCCGCCTACACTGCCTCGTTCACTCGATACTGAAAATGAGAACAGATTAGGTGAGAAGGCGAGAAAGAATAAGCGACAAAGAACTCTGCGAACGAACCAACCGAGAACGTATCACCCAACAAATATGCAGAAGAGAGTGGAGATGGGTTTGATTGGGCACACACTGGGAAGACTGATTGGGGACATCACGCGCCATGCCAAGCTGTCGAGTGGGATCCAAAGGGGAAACGACGAGTTAGGCGTCCCAGGTGTTAGTGACATGGAGATGATGTGATGAAGAAATGAAAGCTTCTGGGCAGTGTTGGAGCCAGGTTAGAAGAAGAGGCTGCAGAGGAGAGAGTGAAATGGAGACGTGCTACTGAAGCCCGGTCTTCTATCAGGAACCGAAGGGACAAATAATAATAATAAGTACAGTGATTTCATTCCGCGGAGCCCATTGTTTGGTTCTACTTTATTGCATGCACTGCACTACCTGAGTCTTTTTCTAAATTATTGATGTTATTATGGTCTAATCATTCTGAATTCGGTTAAGTTCCTGTGCTCCAATTATTTAACTGATCCCAATCGTCTGATTCGACCCCACAGTGATCGCATAGTATATGTAAATCAAATCAGTTTGTCTAATCGGGCCAATGAGATCCTAAAACTAACAAAGTTTACCTCTGAGTAAGATTTTAGATTTAAATACCACCTTGTTGATTTTTTTCCTTGTAAGGTAACACAATAGAAGTGTAAATTCATGTCAACCAGTAGATATTTCCACTACAAGGATGAGTATGTAGTGATAATGAGAGTTGAAAAAAAAGAAACGAAGATGTCAAAATTTAATCACCTTTTTATCATAATCAGAAGCTACCCAATCTTCATCTTCAGCGTCATCATCACTTCCTGTACTGTCAGTTGTGTTATTATCATCCAAATTATGGTAGTTTTCATGTCCATTAGGTAAAGAACGATTAGATCCTGTTAACCAGGTATCAGAGTAAATAGATTCTTTGTGAGTTTTTGTATTGAATTCATTGCGTTGACCACTTGTTTGTTTATATGCTATTGATGTATCATTAGAATTTTTTTGATTAAAGTTCTTCACATCTGTGGTGATAGCGTCATCCCATGCTCTGTTTGATGAATTCTTCTCATAAGCAAACTTTTGATTCATTGGACGACGATCAGAAACCGGTAATTACATCTTATTCTGGTGGTAAAAGATATAAAAAAAATTATGGTAGGTTAAAGATAAAATCCAATTATATGGAGTACTTAAACTATAATAGTTGTGTTTTTTTTTTACCAGTAACCCAATGCCATTTCAACACTAAGCTTCACAAAACCACCTGAAAGTAATACATATATACATACATGCATACATGAATCCAAAAAAACTTAAGTGCCCTGTAAAAGTATTATTGCCTGTCTATCTCAACTGGAGCACACAGAATTGAAGTATACTGAAGTAGTCATCAAAGTTCCTACCTCCAGGCCAATTAAAAAGGATGCATCTATTTCATCTTAGAAATATTGATTCAAAGAGTTGATGTTAGTAATCGTTTGCCATAAATATCTTTACATAGTGAACTACGCTTGACAATTTTTGACTTTAACTAAAATCCAAGGTATTTAACTTGATTTTGCACATAAACTAAACAATATGGTACACACATTAACACACCATTGAAAATAAAAAAGGACCGCTATCTCTTTTAGACGCTTGCTTTGGTTCCAGTGGCACTTAGTTGTTTCAACTGGTGGAGAATATTTGTAGCTTAGGTGGATGGTTTTGGTTGTATTGTGTTATCTGAGCTGGGTTGCTTAATCGTGGAGCTCCCATCGTCTTTCTAGACGACATCATTAGCACTAACTTCAGTATGAAGTGAAATGTCAATATCTCCGTGAGGGATTCAATAGTTTGCCCTGAGGAATTGCTTCTTGATTGCCCGTTTCCTTTGATTATCGTTTCGCTGACTCCAAACATCCTCTTGTTGGCTATTCTTTTGCTTGACCTCTGACCTTTCTGTTGTTTATCAATTTTCTCATCGGTTGATAGATTGGGTCTACGTTCATACATCTACTGATTCGTGACTGACTGATCTGAATGCCAAGCTTCTAAAAATTCTCTGATATTCTTTGTGTTTCCTCTCTTCGGTCAACATTTCTACATTGTCGAAACTCAATTCATGTCCATAGTTGTTATTCACGTGCATTGAAATGAGATGAAATGTCGTGTGTGACTTTCAGTAGCCAATTGGTGTTCATGTTGTTGTTGTTAATGTAGACGAAGGCGAAGAGTGTGACCACTTTGTCCAGTGTAGTGTTCACTAAAGTTATTGCAGTTGATTTTGTAAATGATGTTCAATTTGTCTTCTCTGGTTGTTTCGTCGTTTGGTCTGCATAAGTGTTTGCAGGAAATTTGTTGGTTTATGAGCCACACCAATTCCACGAAGTGGTCTCAGTAATTTTGTCATGATTTCTGATATATTCTTTATGCACGGTAGGATGATGCGTTTGTTAATCTGTGTAGATGACTTTGTAGTTGATGATGTACGGGATACGCATCTTCTGATAGATTTTCACAGGTAGCCGTTATTCTTTAGGATGGACATCGAGTAGTTTTCTTCGTTTCTTCGTGAAGTTGTTGTGCTGCAGTGTTTTTGCACTTTTGAATAGAGTCAGCACGCAACTAATTTTGACAGTGGTTGCTACTGTAGTTGAGGTTTTGATCAGTGTGTTGGCTTCCTGTACACTTGGGTTTCTAGTTTTCTGACATTTGTCCAACTGACTAGAACATCCAGGAATGGTTGTTGATTGTTCGACTCCTCTATTATGAATTCGATGCTATTGAAAACGTTGTTAATCAAACTGCAAATGTTTTCTATATCATCTTTTTTAACGATGACAAAAGTATCGTCTACATAGCGAATCCAAATTCCCATGTGTTGCTAGATGGGTACAAAAGGTGTACTGATAATGTGCTTATTCAAGCTTAGCTTAACTATTAGTATCAGGACTATGTTTTGCAAAAAAAAACTACAGTGTATCTAACTGAACATGATACAGATAACAGTTCTAACGTAAACTATCTAAAAGTCAGTCTCCTACAGGAACATCAGCACAGGAAGCTAACACGCAATCACCAAGTATTGATAAAATAAGTAGGTTTTTCAACGGAGTTGTTCAGGATAGTTCTTCACAATAACTTATTCCGATAGGCTTCATAACATAGGAAAGGAGTGAATGTTTGAAATGTGGATTGGATACGAATTTGTACAATCAACCATAGTCTTGATGAGTAGAGGAAAATAAGACGTCTAATAAAAACAGCATCTGATAAAAAATAGACAGATTTGCGGAACGGCCAAAGACTTCAAAATATATCAGCAAAATCTTAACCAGGAAGCCTACATCTCTAAAGTATAACGCACATCATATTTCAAAGATAATTGCCGCACTTTATTTTAACAACTCTAAAGATCTTTGCACTCCATTACATGGTAGTAGATCAACCACACCTGTGATAGTAGTCTTTTGTCCAGTTCGACGTAGGCGAACCTAGGATGTTTGAAAATCAAGTGTCTTAACCAGTGAGCCATATCTTCAGCCTAAACTCCATCGGTCAACTAGATATCTTGTTCATGACTTTTACAACGATGGTAACTACCCCTTCAGTCCAAATGAATATTAGAAGGAAAGTGTCGATTAACTGACTACGTGTATACATTATCCTTATAGTGAATAACCCCTCATATAGAAAAGGGTGTAGATATCTTAAGTATGGACTATTTACTAGACAGTAGGTGCTTTATTTCCGTCAAAGCAAGATAAAAAACGAATTTGATTTAGCGATAGGGCAATAAAGTATTACTTTGCTTTAGAATTTCTACAGGAATAAAGATTTGACCAACGTACCAGGGTTGAAGCCTACTTTATTTCTTCAGGTTTCCTTCGAGTGTCAACCGCGTCCAATGACTATCAACTCTAAAAAACAGTCAGTTGGAGGTAATCTGCAGGAAATCCTGGACCCAGCTTTCGTGTTTGCTGGTACTTATGAACAAGGTGTTTCTGCAGCGTTGAGGGGGATGATGCCTTCAACCAACTAACTTCTATCGAAGTGCACCGCAATGGTGAGTCTTCTACCTTCGTGGTAACACTGAAAGATTATCGATAGAATTTGATCGGCACTCAGGACCAGACGAAATGAAAATTGGTACTCATAAACGACCAATCAAAGTATTTTAGAAATTGCCAATCAAGCTTATTCCTTTATCATTATCAGAACACGATTTCCCTCCTCCTTTAGAGCGTTAAAGGAGAATGGTGGAAAGAGACCACACCTCGCTATTAACTTAACCAATGCTTCTGTGTAACTAGATGTACAAGGGGTGGCGGCTTACAGCGACAACATTTCATGAGAACTCTTGGGTTGTTATGTAGATCTATCTAACCCATGGATTTAAACTAATGTCTCTAAAGATATCTAGGAATAAGCCTATGGGAAATGTTATTCGTTTCTGTCACAGCTATCCTCATATACTCATGAAACTGACAGTCGACTTCAACCTTCCATGAAAGCTGTGAGTGAATGAATTAGTAGACGAATGTCAAACAGTTAGATTTCTCCCCGACTTGTTTTGCCCATAGTTCTAGTTGTCTTTTGTTAGTTACTACCATTATCACCCGATATCGATGTCTTCACTCTTCTCACTTTTGCTACCGACAGCTGCATGAGATCATAAACGTCACTCAATCAATGTTTTAGTCTTTGCAGTTTCGTCGTGCTGGGAGCAGGCTAGAATTAACACCCATCTTCATAAAAAATTAGAACAGGTTACTAAGATCTGTTGCATGTAATCGGCTAATGGTCCGTATTTTATTAAGAATACATTTGTAAGAAATATTCACACAATGATAAGTTTCCTGGGTTAGAACAACCAAATCCCAAGACAACTACCCGTGAAAGGTTGTGGCAAGCCCAAAGCAGGTGCCCTATAAGCTCTGAGGTCACAAGTACTTTTCTATTTCAGATACCTGGAGAAGAAACAGCCTTCCATGGTGTGGGCATTTGGGAAGTGTCAACCGCCTGCACACTTCCAGTAGTAGGTATTTAGCTGCAATGTTAGGTGCAACGGCGATTTGATGGCCACTAAAAAGCAAGATGGGTTTAGCACACACTAAAGCTTGATCAGAGTTCAGGCAAGTACTCCATATGCAGCGGAAGTCCTGTATACACCCACACCATCGGTAGGTGATTGCAATATGACCTGTTTGAGTGACAGAGGGAGGAAGCCAAGTAGCACAACGGTGATGGTTGCGCCGGAAGTTGGTGCGGACTAGAAATAGGTTGTGATCTGTGCCGGTTGCCGGTGCCGCGCGCTCCCCGGATAAGAGCACATGAAACATACTTTTCGAGCTGACAGATGGGAAGCACTTTACTGGGATCTTGTATGCGGGTCCGTGAGATGCAGCATACATCAGTAGTCAGGCTTTCCAGAGTTCTAGCCAAGCCTGCCTGTTGTCCGATTTGCATTAAGGTGGGAAGCTTAAACGACATGCATGGTTTCAGGATAGCTGTGTCAGATGTCGCACTGGAGGACAGCTTTATGAGGGCAAACATTTAGCGACACAAAACTGTACAGATAGACTAGAAGTCTAAGCAATGGGCAGCAGCAGAGTGAAGATAAAGACAAAAGTGGAAATGGCAATAGTGAAACAGCACAGTTCATATGTAAACAAAAATAGGAATAAATTGAGTGATCGGTTAATAAGTTCGTAGTGCAGAGAGCTTGAGTATTCGTAAAAAATTGGGTTAATAGCTTTGAAATCTTCATTTTTTTAACTGTAAATTCATATTGTGTGAGGGCTGAGATACTGCCCAAGTGCCCAGACCGAGGCAGGTGGTTTTCTTAGGAGACCACTTCCCGAGCTTTTGACTTTAATCCGCAAAGTGGTGGAGCAGCATTCCCATGGTTGCTGGTGACCGAAATAGGTTCATACGTCGTTCGTTCCATCGGGAACCTGGAGTCTATGAGCACCACCGGTTTGGAATCAGGGTTTTCCAGCACCCCCAGGTGAACCCTCAGTATCCACAAATCCGGCGATAAGCACCGGACATTCACTTGCTTCCTTTCACATTTTTGAAAACACTGCCACCACGCGGTAGTGAATAGGACTTCTCCGGTAGAGGCTTTGAACGTGTACTAGAGCATTTGGTATTGCTATAAGCCATAGTTCGAGAGGATCAGTGGAGGATAGCCACTTTCTGAAGCGCCACGCGTTAGTACGGGCTCATGTATGTTTGTACCTCACTGGTCGCAGGAAACATGCGGTAGTAAAGCCTGTTTATGACTGACTGGAAGATAAGAACGCCAGGTATGTATTTAGGGGAGTTAGTTACGAATGTTTGTGAAAGTGAGAAAACCTGGCGTGATATTAAGTCTGCTGTAGAAACGGCGGTAAAGACAGTTAACAACCTACACCCGAAGGTTAGTAAATGTCATTGGATTTCCACAACGCCATCCCAAACCGAGTGATGCAGGAAGACTGATTCAAGCTGGGGTTGACTATAATGAAGAGGAAAGGCAAAAGAGATGGAGAAGGTATCAGCGTCGAGCAACACCAAGCAGCTATTGAGGCTTACTAAGGATACTGGGAAGAAGACGATGGTCAGTGAAACCATCACTGAAATTATGGGACGCTGGTAACCTCTCAGGACAGGTGACTAGGAAGTTGGGCAGAACACTGTGAAGTACAGTTCCACTGGTCCACAGCATCGTTTCAGTTGCCCAGAATCCAGTATGAACCTGAATCGGATGTAGATGTCATTCCTCCAACCTTTCTTGAAGTTGAGAAGGCTGTATGGAACCTGAAACGATGCAAAGCAGCAGGACATAACATTTTGCCACCCGACGTTTTCAGAAATGGAGGTAGGAAATTGCTAATTAAAGTGACGCAGGTACTAAGTAGTGAGCATATGAGAATCAGCGGTAATGCTGTCAGACTGGTCGACTTCACTGACCATCCCATTCTATAGGAAGAGGGAGAAGTCTACCTGTGGCGACCATTCGGAAACTACTTCAACTAATATTGTGTCCAAGATTTTAGGTTCCATAGTTAACCAACACTTAAATGGAGCTCAAGAGCAGCAAACTCGGGAAAACAAAGTGGGTTCCATACCTGGACGATGGTGCATCGATCATACTTTACCCTCCAATAGGTTTTAGAACATAGGCATATCCGTTTAGGACCGACTCTTGATACATATCTTGACCTGAAGATGGCATTTCATTCAATCAACCTTGAGGTGTTGTGGCAGTGTCTGACTGCGAAAGCAGTACCAAGAAACTATTTAAAGCTAATCAAAGCTCTCTACTAGAACTCACCCGGCCGTGTTAGGCGTTATGGAAAATTGTTATGTTACAGTGATATGTATGACTCCCAAATCTGCGTATGCGGTAGTATCCAACTGTACCGATTATTCTATAACTGGTAGGACAGATTATTCTGGTATACCCTTTATCCAGTGTCATTTCTTATTTCTGTTGTATATTACCATGAACCTGTGATTTGTGGAAACATGTTTATAGCTTACTCGGTCCTGTTTAAATCATCCTCATACCTTATACTTGGGTTTCCGAACAAGACAATCATCTAATCCTATTACCTTATCTGCTCTAATAAACCTGCAGATTACTGTGGAGCATATATTTCTGTGTTGAAGAAACTTTACTTCAAGAATTCTGAAACCAATTCAATATGACATCTTAAATGTTAAAACACGCTCAGAATTTCAAAAATAAGCTGTTGAATATGACTATATGAGATGAAATTATGGCAAGTTTGATGCAGTTTCTCTTTTCACTGGTAAACCAATATGCGAATGTCTATATATTCTAAGAACTGTAATTGTTATTATTCAAGATGTAATATCTAAATATCCACTTTCAACAGAGAATATCATAGAATCGTCCAAGCTATGCTTAGAATCTACATATTTTGCGTCTAGAGACAGAATGTACGGTCAGTTAAATGCAGATAGAATGTATTCACCAGCATCTCCAATTGTGGCGGATCTCTATATGAAAGTTATGGAAGAGAAACCATCAAGAAGTGTCCAATACCAACCCAGAATTTTGTATTGGTATGTGGATGATACGCTTGTCATTCTTAAGAAAATAAACTAACAGAAATTTTCGAAAACAAGTTCTATTTCGGACTTGATGAAATTCACTACTGAAATAGAATCTAAGGACAGGCCTCCAAAAAATTTTAGATTGTTTTATCCAAAGAACAGCTGAAGGTAAATTCAGTATAAAAATGTACAGGGAGCCAACACATTCTGATAATTATTTAGATTTCCGTCCGGGTCATCCAATTAATATAAAAGCTACTGTTGCATTGAACCTACAAAATAGATTGAAAAATATCATAACAGTTCCCAATTGATTTGAAAAACGAAATCGCCAAAACAAAGCGTGTTTTGAAGGAAAATGGATGCCACAATACGTTTTTGAACAACAACATCGACCAAACGAATGAAATGGCAAGAAATACCACCACAACAACTACTACTACTAACAATAAAGGTGGAACAAAATCATAGGTGTCACCTATGACAATACCATATCGGAAAGGCACTTATGAACAGATTAAAAGAGTATGCGCTTTGCAGGGTATCAAGGTCTGTTTCAGACCTTCAAATTCATTAGAAAAGATTTTAGTCAAAGTGAAAGGCAATTCTTAAGACGATAGGCAACAATTGTCCACAAAACGAAATGTTCGAAATGTGAAGCTAATTACGCTGGAGAAAGTTGTAGACCCGTAAAAGTTAAGGTGAATGAACGCAAGTTATGTACGAAACATTCGCCGAGGGATCAAGATGAATCGAAAAATTTAGAAAGGCGATCAGCAATAGCTATGCAAACATTCAAAAGTGGACATATGATTGGCTTTGAAAATGTATACATATTGGGATGAGGTTTCCATTCGCATGAAGCAAGATTACCTTCCGAAGCGCTGTACATTTTAACAACATCAAATGCTATGAATAAAAAAGAAGGAATAGACTTGTCACCTGTTTGACAAAACCATTGGTGATGAACTTTTCTAACAAAAGCTTTAATAACAATGATAATTACTGACGGTTAATAAATAGAAGTACAAGAAGCAACGCGTACTCTACAACACATAAACTTACACACACACACACAATGACTATCCTACATTTCCGTTGACAGGTGATAATAACAACAGTGAGCTTGTGATGACTAATCTTGATTACTTAAGCTGGACATAAAACCACTTAACTAATGACCAACATTCACTAAATGTTTGATGTATTGTTTAATTAAATATTTTGGTGTGAATAAAAATCCATGTATTCTGCTGAAGAAACCGTGGCTAACACGGCGGAACGTCCAGCAACATCTTGTCTCGACTTTCTAAAAACTGTGATTACACTAAAATATATACCTATAGTGATTAAATCAAACTCGACACCCAACTTTTTCCAGGACATCCTCAACAATTATGGTCTGGAGGATTTTTAGATTTAAGTAATCTTATTACTGAACAGCTTATTCGCCTACTAACAGCAAGACTCATCAGTTGCGCACTCCGCCTGACTCAGCTTAGAGAGGATAAATAAGTTACACCCAATTTTCGTAATTCTGACCATTAAATTAAGTAGAGCTATTATGTTTATTACTAGATAGAACCCATTACGACACATTTACAATAATAAGAAGAAGAAGAACTCACTTTATTCCAAATAGTTTTTGGTACAGCTTGGAACCCTAAGTATACTTGGACTTATGGCAAGCAATGCAACTCTCGACAAATAACCAACGGTGTAGGCTTTGCCATAATTTATCAACAGCATGGAAAACCGATGTAAATCGGCGATCTTGATTAAATGCATCTGCGAACTGAAAGGTCATTCCTAAGGTTTACCGTCACTAAAGTTTAGTTCGACCTAAGAGACATCATTGTGTGCAAACACTCACTAAAGATATGCTTATAATAAACTGACTCCATAACAATGCTTTGACGAGAAAAATGGGAAAAGAAAGTCAAACCACATTATTATGAGAAAGGAAAACTTGAGTTGTCTGCAGAAGGCGACTAGGAAGGGGGACGCAGCAATCGCGTGGAAATGTCGTGAAAAGGACAATTTATTTGTTTCCCTATGAACGTTGCTTCATTTCAACATTGTGCTTCCCACTCTACGCTTCCGTTCACCTCATTTTCTTTTTTCTCTTGGCCACGATACGCATACGTCCACTGATTGTCTGAAAATAATGAATGCTTCCAGTCCAAAGACTTTTTCCCAAGTTAATAGGCTGAAAATATAGAGCTCGCAAGATCGTTTTCGTTGGAACATTTGCGGACAAATTTCGCCAACGAATCCAAACTAGTTGTTCTTTTTTTTCGTTAGTAAGTGTTCTAAAAGACGTAACTACATTGAAATAGCTAATCTCATTTTATGCCTACAAAATCATCCTAAAATTTAACTGGTTGCAACAAGCCACCAGTTTCCAAGTTTGTAGCCACTTTTTACTTGAACCCCAAGAAAGCATTGAACGCATAGTGCTGATGCAAACTTCCGTAACAATATACCTTATGGTGACATAAGAATCAATCGTTTTGAATTTGGTAAGACTAAATATTTGATAACATGGTCCCATCCCAATTTTTACCATACGAAATAAAAACTTTTCAAACACTCACCATTATCTATATATGCACAACCGTTATCGAATCTCAGTCGCCGGACGTAATCCCAACCTTCAAACTGCAATATCAAACTTTGCGCGAGTGAGATAAAGCGTTAACTTTATTTGTTCTGATTGGTCAGTGCCATATGGCCCTCAGAAAAGCCAAGGCACTAGTTTCTAATCTTGTTAACCCGATGATTAGTTCTCACGCTGCATAGACACATTTGTGCAACAGTCGGCATTCGTAAACAAGCATTAAAATGGCCCTCAGATCTAATGTTGTACCAGTAAATCTAGTAGCTAAATTCAAATGATTCAGATGGTTGTTGGTGGAATAGAAGCTTCCACGTCTACAATCCATGGATCACTACTCCTTATGATTGTTAACCTGTGAACAAGTAAGGAAAGAGGAAAAATGTGGAAATTCACTTAGTTCTGGGCAGATCCCAGACACACATCAACTGGGTATCCAGTCGTGGTTTGAAAGATCTAGACGAAGAAGCCTGGATCCCATCCTCGGGAAGAGCTTCCAGGGTTTAACAACTCTTAGGGAATAGAAGTTGTGCCTGACATCCAACCTGCTATGTTCCAGGCTTAGTTTCTGTGCATGTCCTCTAAGATTAGCGCTGCAGCTGAGATTTAATGAGCTATTGAGTGGGTGGCCAGGCGTGCTGAGAATGTTGTCAGTCATTATCAAGCCAGCTCTTAGCCTTCTGCACTCCAGAGGATACAGATCCAGCCCAACCAGCCGTTCTTCGTATGTTTTGGAACTAAGTCCTTGAACAGTTTTGTCGAACTCTCTGGATGCGTTCTAACCTTAGTTTGTCCTTCTGAATATGAAGAGGGAAGAGGACTGTTCCGAACCCCAGGCGAGGCCGTATGAAACTGTTGAAAATTTTGTGGAGGCACCTAGGACCGAATGGTCCGAAAATTCGTCTGAGAGTTACTAACGCCAAGTTCCCATGAAATGCGTTTCTGTCTTAGTTGGCGTAGGATTTTAAGCCTTGTGGGACTAAAACACCCCAATCGTTCTCCGTCAGTGAAGCTTCAAATTCCATGCTGTTGAGGCTATATACATGACATAAAACATGCTTTACGTGTATCACCTTGCATTTCCTAGGATTAAATGCAAGCCTGTTGTTGACCGCCCAGCTGTGAAGTCGAGTCAAGTTTTAGGATTTGCCATGGTGCGAACTTGACGGACACAAAGACCAATCACTAATTATTCGGACTTGTTATATACCCACGGGTACGAGACCAAGGAAGAACACGATAGTGTAGTCGGATGGAATAGTATATTTGGATGGTTGTGCCAAAATACCGATGCGTTCCAACTAACTAGCTAGAGAGTCGAATGCGAGCAGTGCAACGTAACACGACAGCGTGCCAAATGGCGAGGATGCTTGACCGGGTGCCCTCAGCTTAGCGAGTCCGGTTAAACTATCAAGGTCATCATCAATGTCGAAAGTCGTCAAACCCTAGGCTATTGATTTTGGGGGAGTGTGTGACGCTGCAGATCACTCCCCCGTAGTGGGTTCGTGAGGAACCTAAGACGATACCAGCCGGAAGTAAAAACCCAGTGGTTTCTCCACTGGTAAAACTCTTCCGATGGGCCCACTGCGTGAAGTGGCCCCTGGTTGTTTGAACTTATTCTAGGGTATCGTGGGAAATGAAAAATAAAATACGATGAATCGAAGTGTACGTCGATCGCGGTCCTCAGTTCCTTTTGACGTTTCGTCCAGTGCTCGCTGCACCTGGAATATAAATAAAAGTCTTTAATACCATGAGGACATTTCGTAGAGATTGGAATTATGTGTACTTAAATATATATCGAAAACAAAAATTTCATGCTCATTTTCACCGTTTTTTTCAAAAGTCTCATTACCTGGTAATAAAAATTGACATAAAAGTTCATGGTATATCATTGATTCCGTTAATCTGGAAGGAATGGATAGAAGCGTCACCGGTGTGTATTGCTTTGGATGGCTTCGTTGACCCCCTTTGAAGATTGGCTTTATGCGGCCCAGCTTCCAAGAGTTGGGTACCATCCCCTGACTCATGGGATTCTTGAATAAGTTACCTAGGGGTTCGGACAAGATTGAAGCTCCCTCCCGCAGTACCACCGGATGGATTTTATCTGGTCCCGGAGAGGTGTCTCTGGTAAGCAGTAGCAGTTTGCGCTGTACCACCACAACGCTTGGGTCGAACACTGAAATAGGACAACTTCTGAGGAATGGAAGTTTGCAAACATTCCTGGGGTGTGAAAGGTGCATCAGACTATTTTAAGAGTATACTTAATTAATGAAGTCATCATTAACTGGCAAGGAAAACTCATACTTTGTACAAGATCTGTTATTTTTTCACAGACAGGGACGCGAACAATGAAGTAAACTCGGTATATAAGTGCGATTATGCTGCTTTTCGTTGCCACGTTGGTCGGTAAGGGAGGGAGTCAGAAAGCAGAGAAAGTCACAGTAATTACTGCAATGAAAACCATTACATTTACATTATATATCCAAGTTCCTGGGTTTCCCACTCACTTTCCGAATTTATGTGGATTTGGGCGTCATGAAATTGTACAGCCCGTTGACACCACACACAACACGAGAGCTTGTCAGAGCTGCTAACGTCTGTGGAATGGGGGGTTCGCGGACTCAGTGGTGATCAGCAGAGGGGGATTATATCACCAGTCGGGCGGAGTGCACTACCAAGTCAAATTATTAATATGGCTGAGGCGGAGTTGGGGAAGCTGACGGCATAATATGACTATCGAAACTTTCGGGGGCTGATGTACCCTAGTAATGTTGTCGACAGCAGTGTAGTCTAGCGGGGAGCTGTTCACTGTCGATTCCCGTCCTATTCCATTGTCTTGTGAGCTTTTCATGCTATGCCTTCTTTCAACGTAAGACGTGTACAAAAAACGAGCGCCCCTCAGTTCCTTAATCGAGAAGGTGCCAACTAAAAAATTAGGCTTCAGTAACCCCACAAACTACTGAGTAATTACTAACTACCTGTGCACATTGTTCCACTCCTCAAATAAACTTTGTTACATTTTTCATGTACTCATTCTTTGTTGTTTATTGAAGTGGAAAGCAGAACGGGTTATGGCCATAGCAGTAGGAGTGGAGGGGCTTGTGTTGCTGCACAATGACCAACAGACATAGTCATTCAACTGCTTACCTTCGAGGTGCATCCTGCCAACCGCAGTCGGATGAGCCAGATAGCACCACTAGCCATCACATGCAAGCTGTGCTTTCCTAACTTAGAAGCTACAAAGTCACTTCCAATATCGAGTTTATAAAGCCGAAAGGTAAGGAAGCCCCTGATATTTACTGCCGTTCCACAGCATCTGCTCATTAGCGTTGCGATATTTTCTCCTAAGTTTCCCCAAGCGTCAAGCAGACATTCGTTGTACTTCCTCCAGACATAGGCCAATAGAAAAGCCTTCTGTTAAGAGAAGGTCAGTTACTTGTCGCCTACACTTGTCGTGTTTCACGCATGCAGACTGATGACACTAAAAGAGGCACTAGCAAATTATTTAGAAATTCGTTTCCATAAAAGCAACGCTTTTTATGGCCACATGTAATAGTTTAGATATCTGGCATTAAAGTTACGTCTAACCGTTGACTACTCTGCTGCAGAATGGCGGCCTGAATTCCGGGTACTGTTCCCGAAAGACAGGCTTCGTATCCTCGCGTTGCATCAAAACTCACGACTATCTGTCCAGTTATTTATGAAACGGGGGTTACGGTAATAACACTTTATTTCGAACGACTGGCTGCCATTTTTACCGGTGATCTCTGAATTTTGTTGTTCTCAGTAAAGCTAAGAAACTTAAAATTAAATCGACAGGCCATGTGTAGCATATCAGAATAGGCTGCTGCTTGGATACTACGGGCCACATACCATTCGCACTAGCGCTGCTATGTCACATTCACAGCCGCTGACAGTTCGTTGGAAACGACACCCGCATCTTAACAACAATTTCAACTACCAATAAATTGATGACGGGGCAGCTTCCTCGGAATGCTTCGCCCAGTAACGAACTTCCAACACTTCCTCATAGTTATGAATAAGTGAATAAATATTCTACTCTAAAACTGTTTACGGGCATCCCCAAACTGCCAATGGTAGAGAAATCTCCAATAATTGACCTGCCGCGAATAATGCAGAAGGGAGGGCATTAAAGTTCATCATAATGAAAAATTGTCTGCAAGCTATAAAAAAGATGGGAAAATATCATTCTACAGGACACACGGATTCTTCATGGGTTTCGGCAGTTTCCATTCATCATACTTTTCTGAAACTAAAGTGGCATCAAAATCGCGCAGTACTCAGTGTTTGCGTCACAAGCATTCTGGATGCTTAACTGGTTTGTATATTTTCATGTTTCGTCGGATAAACATTTATTTTGACATCAGTTCACTTGTTTATGGCATCACTGGCCAGCAATAAATCACTTCATCGACTTCAGATATCAGTGAGTGTTGACGCAACCATTTACTTCACGCTAATGTCTAAGTTCAAGTACTTCCCACCCGCCATGTTGCGTTGCACAGCAGTATAAGTGTAATCCATTAGAATTAGTAGTTGTGGTGCAGAGAAACAAACGTTGGAAGGACCACTGTCCATTTGTGATGTATTTTTATGTAGAACTCACACTGAAGTAGATGGCATTATCAAGGAGGTAAGTATGCCGGTAGTTGCCTTCTGTCAGACGAAGTCAGCTGAGGTAGTACTGGATACGAATATTGCGAAAGTTTGCTTGCGAATATGTTACATTCAGAGTCACTAGGTGGCCTGATCTCTCAGATCTAGTTGTTTGTCCAGATTTTCGCTGCCATCATAACCGTCCAGAAATCTCATGCCACTCATTGTAGTTGAGTTTTCTTATATGGTAGGGTTTAGAATGTCAGTAAGTAGGTAAGTTGATTACGCAGTGCTTCAGAAAATCGGAAATCAACGAGAGTAAACCAGTAGAAGAATCCCTTCAATAATTCCTGATACTGTAGGGAGTGTTCTGGTTGTACTACCATTCTGTAACGTTTGACCAACCCTACTTAATTTAATGTGTTCCGCTTAAACGGTACCTTACCTCACCTAACATGTAAGTG